CACTTACCTGCATTCATTTGACAAATAGAAATTCAGAATTTTGTTATGTGGAGAATTGTGGCCACCGATTTTTTTGGAAGTAATTATATTTCGATTCCAGGTACTCGTCTTCCGAATGTGGCATCACAGACTGTGTGCGAGAATCCCTTGGCGACGGCTACATGAAACCTTGGCAACGGGTTTGAAAACTGCGAGTCGCCGACACCCGTCGGCTTCACCCTTCCCGAGTTCTTTCAGAAACTTTCCCTGAAGTTCTTGGCCGAGGACTAGCTCGGCCATCATTTTGGGGCACCTGCATCTTTTTTGCCTGTCTGGATACCAGAAAAGGGCTTGGCATTCCACGCTTGTCCACCATCGCAGCACTGGGAAAGATACAGAGTGTATTGCAGAATTCAGCTACAAACCTGGGAAATGTGGCCAAGCCCTCAGGCTGCCACACTGAATATAAATTCAGCTCTCAATTTCTCATTTCACATGCTTTTAATTTGCTCAAAAAATCTACACCACTTCTTACGATGTTAGTTCTTAACAGCCCATGTACAGCCAGCATGGTCTTCCTTCTCTCTCTCCATCCCACTCCATGCATCCAGTCTATTCTGATCAGATTTCAGCTCGTCACCAAATGGTCACAGCCAGTGTTTCTGTTCTGGGCTATAAGGTCTTACGGTGCACTAATGGGTCATGTTTTCTATACAGTCAGGGATATGGCTTGTTCAGATGCCTTGAGAGGGTGCATTACCTGAACACTGGGGTAACCCATCTGCCCATCACCTACCCCGTCCAGACCCCTTTAGAAGACAGGTATGACCGAATCAAGAGAAAACATGAGCCTGCCACTTAAGCATAACTCCCCTGAATGCCAAGGACTGAAACCAGAACCTCGTACGGGTCGAGCCTGAGCTCTACCACAAAAGCCACATCCTCAGCCCTGAAGCTCTTTTCTGTCAGATCCTTTTATGGAAACTGGGGCCATACTGACTCTAAAGAAAAGATGAGCCCTATACTGAGCATGAGGCAACACCAGGGACTGTACCACGCTGTACCGCTGAGCAACATGTTCTGCGCCTTTCAGTGACATGAGGTGATCCGTAAACCAGCACTTAGAATGCAAGGTGGTAAAGAGTAGAAACAAAGTAATAACCAGCAGTCACACAATCTTTAGTACACATAGTAGCAGAGGCCATTGGACCTTCAGCAGTATAGCAGCAGAAGATGGTAAGTTACTAGGACCCCATCACAAACAAAAACTTAACTTTTACTGGAAAACTTCATTCTTTGTAATAAGTGTCAGGTAAGTTTTTGTGTGATCGAGACAAGCACGGCCTTGTGACTGACTGCTCTGTGAAAACAATCGGGTGGATGTGATTTATTGCTGCGTTTCTTGAGATTACAAACTGTTACAACATAAAGCTGCAGGATCCAGGAAAACCACACTCGTCTACAACAGTGCCAGGCCAAGTGCTAGAGAAAGTAAGAAAAACACAGAAAGCTGGGGGCAGCAGTCCTGTCTGGAGAACAGTCAGTGCTGGTGAGACTCAGATGGTTCTATTCAAGCAACTCAAACTGGACAGCAGGCTTCTGGTCAGGAGTGCTGGGCCCAAACCACCTTGGCATCCCGCAACCTTTGTGTGCATTTGGATTCAAATCCTGAGCCAGAGACGAACTCAAACCACTACGGCTTTTATTTTGACTGATCTTACATTATAAAACCATGAGCTGAAACGTTTCGGTGGGAGGATTGCTCCTAGAACGTGAAGCGGGGCTGAGTGTATTTAGGACCGAAATCCAGCTCTTCAAACAAGTTTTTACAAAAAGTCCTAAAAACCGGTACAGTCATTTCTCAATGACTCCACTTTTGTGGACCTTTGGTTTAACGTGCCTCACGCACACCCACCACACCTTCAGTGAGGATGGCATGAGTTTTTGCTTAACACACTTCAAACACAGCCAGTACCAGGCAATTTCGTGTAGAACTGCAGACAAGAGACTCTGCATGTACTCAGACTCAGTTACAACATTAATTGAACACCTCTCTGGCAAGTGAAAGGCTTACACCGTACAAGGACCACAGATTACACAGTCCTGAAGCACCCCTGGGGGCACTGCTCATACATTCTACACACCACCCTCCACCTTCACTCTTCGCCGCACATTTTAGAAGAAGCTGATCAACATTTAAGGCTAACAAACCTAGGGTAAGTTTAACAGCCCTTAAAATTGAAAAAGTGACCACCCCTTTCACACGAGGACATGAACTTGCAACAGATGAAGCTGGATGAGCTTGAACAAGCAGGGGGGTCCCGTTCCGAAGTGGAGTGCGAGCAGCGACAAACTGGCACTGGACTCCTCCACATTGAGGGGACCAATCACCTGGGCAGCACTCTCTCTTCGCTGGCGCTGGGCAGGGCAGGGCCGAGCCCACGCCGTGATGGAAGATGAGTGGTGCAGAGCGGCGCACCGACCTGTCCTCATTCTGCCCAGGCACGAAGCACACTGGCGATTATAAACCGCATGCCTATAAAGGGAGATTCAAGGAAATGCTCACAAAAAAAAAATGGATGCATCTCTCCTCAACATAACACATTGGGGCCAAAGGTCTTCTCTGAAAAAAGACCCATCATAACAAAAAGCCTTTCACACGCTGGGCTAGGTAACTGGGAAAATAAAGCGACGCATTTTTTTTTCTTAAGAAAATGTTCCCCAGGAAAGAGGGCAAAAACCACACAAATGAAAACGGCATACCGATGGGGGAAAAAAAAACACTACATCTCTGTTTACCTCCAGCAGCAGAGCTCTTTTGTACAAAACGCGAATCTAGTTTTGTACAATCACAGCAGAAAGTAGAGCCCTGGATTGGAATAAATTCTGAGCCACAGCATTGCTGGGGCAGAGCGCGGCCCGGGACCCGTACGGTTTCGGGCTCCGAGAAGTTCCTCTTCCTCCGGCCCTGAAGCAGCCGGTGAAGAGATCCTGTGGGTTGACCATTCAGGAGGCCCTGCTCTCCCTCTTACAGAGAGACCGGTGCCTTTTGCGCTTCTACTGTGCTCTCGGCTCTCTTCTTCCATCTGCTGGGAGAGCAGACGGGCCCTTCCTGGCGGCTCCCCCCCTCTCTCTCTCTCGAGATCTCGGGCCCACAGACTCCTGCAGAACTGAGCCCAAGCAGGACCGCAGCTCCCTGCTCTTGCCTCCCCTCCCGCCTATCTCAGGCCCATGGGCTCGTGCAGCAGGCAGGCCAGGTAGCAGCAGACCTCCCAGGCGCGGTCCAGCTGGGCGGCCGTGCTCAGCGGGTGCACGGCCCTCAGGTAGCGGAAGTTCAGGGCCTTGTCCGTCAGGCTGCGCACGCTGAGCACCTCGCGGGACGGCCGGCCGGGGGGCAGGGCGGGCGCCGGGGCCTCGTCGAACAGGTAGGGCGGCAGGGCCTGGCTGGGCAGGAGGTCCTCGGCGCCCAGCGCCTCCCACTCCTCCAGACGCACGGCGCTGGCAAAGCCCAGGTAGCCGGCCGGGGAGGCCAGGACGCAGCCGCGGCGCGGGCACAGGGCGCGGTAAGGCTGGGACACCAGGTCCGGGGGGCCCTCGCCCGCCCTGTCCGAGCCGCCGCCGCGCTGGCGGTCTCGAGAGGGCACCTCGAAGAGGAGGTCGGCGCACTCCAGCACGGTGAGGGTCAGGCCGTCCCCCAGGATGAGGGTGTGCTTGGGCCGGAAAAAGCTAATATAGCGCTGGCTGCACTTCACTGGGATCTGGAAAGGATTATTGGAAACTCGTTAGACTTCAATCCCGGAGGCTCCGTTCAGCTGAGGCTGGTCCGCTGCTCACTGTAGCTAGGGCTAAACCTCACACTTCTGGGGACTGAGCCCTTACTGTTGCCGCTCCAGTGTGTCAGATGACCTTCCATCCTCCTCTACAGGAGACAAGCTCTTTGAATCTGTTCAAACCCAAACTTATAACTTTCCTTTTTACCAAAGTCTGCGTCGGATTGTCCTACGTTCCACCTCTAGAAACATAAGTTTAATTTGTTTTCTGCTCTTAGGTTTAATTGTATTTTTTTCGTCTTTTTTTTCTTTATCCCAGTGTTTTGGGGGGTTTGGAAGGGCGCTTTATAAATAAAAGTTGCTGTTGTTAGTTATAACGCAACGATAGCCGGAGGAAAAGCACAGCAGGAGCTCACATCACTGGCTCCCCACAGGCCCGAACAGCTGAAGTGAAAAGATCCGATTCGGGCGCTGTTTCAGAAATCAAGACGGGGCTGTAAGACTTCTCTCTGGGCTCACCTGCTGCAGCCGTTTCTGCATCAGCTCCATCCAGTGCACCCAGATCCGCGAGACCGTGGACTCCGCCACCCGAAAGCGGAAGGCCAGGTCCTGGAGCAGCAGGCCCAGCCGGAGCCGGGCCAGCACCAGCAGCAGCTGGTCCTCGGCGCTCAGCAGGTTGGGGGCGCCCCCTTCTGTCCTGCGCAGCGGCTCCCTCGCCTCCCCTTCGCCGTCCGCCTGCGCCGCCCCGGCTGCCGTCCAGAGGTCCGCCGGCGCCTCCGCGTCCGAGACCTGGAGAGACAGAGAGGCGGGCAGCCGTCAGGCGCCCGGGCTGGGGGGGCACGCCCCCCTGCGGCGAGATCCCGCCCCGTTTCTGGAACGGGCCTCATCGCGATTATGTCTCGCATTGATCCTGTTCGGTTTTTACTCTTTTACTGCTTTAAGGCCAGGTGTACGAGATGGACGCCGATCATCAAAAACTGTTAATGCCAAACAGGCATAGGATGGAATTCACAGATCGTGCAGCCGTTAAGCACAGTACCCTTAAAAAAAGGAGGACGCTGCTTCCAGTTATACAGGTGTACTGGTCGCACGTGGCGGCCTAATGCCTATTAATGGACTTAATATTGTAATTTTTTACCAATACATGCTTATTGTCCAAGCATAATCTTAGATCTTTTGTGAAATGGCTAGACTGGATCTTTGAACCAATAAATGAATTGAAAACCTGAAGCCATTTCCTGTTTTCATCTTGCACAAACGGTCTGGGCAAGAATGGGACTGACGTGCTCAACACTACCTGAGGCGCTTATACAAAAAATACTTGCAAATCTCCAAACCATCACCCAACTTTGAAAACGGCTGCAGCGTGCCAAGGTCAAGGCAGTATAACATTTCATACCCATATGTCATCAGGCCACACAGTTATATTTTTGTGTTCCGCATGGAAAAGCTGCTATGTAATCAACGGCAGTTTAAAAAGACCGAAGAGACAGAGAGGGGGAGATCTGAAGAGTTCCCCTGTAATCAGATTAGACAATAGTATTAATAGTATCAGAGTAGTTGGAACAAATAGTGTGCAGCTGGCTATATACCATGGTGCCAGCGATACTGATGATCTATATCTGCAATCAGTGGCTATATTTCTTCCTTATTGCACTGTGCACTTGTTCTCTGCATGATCCCCAGCTATTTTTCCTTCTGTCATGATACTTGCTTTCATTTTCTTCTGTAAAAGAGTCCTTAGTCATTAGTCTGCTTCAGCTAGATCATAACTGCAGAGAAAAACAAAAGCTTGGCAGGTCTCCAGAGGGGAAGGCAATGAACGCTTGATTCCCTGCAGAAGGACACGTCCACCATTTTTCACACTGCTGCACGCACGCACAGCTGCATCAAACCACATCAGCGAGGGCGCCCAGCGTGGCCTGGGACAGCAGGCCTTGAGCACAGGACGCCTTGGCCAATCGTGGTGCTTATTGTCCCCGTTGCTTGGGGAAAGTGGGTACGAGCTGGCTAACGTCAGAGCACACTCGGGTCCAAACCTCTGCTCCTGCTGAGCACAGTTGCTGGCTGAGCATGTGAACCCACACATGTATGCAAAACCGAATACAGATGCAGAAACTTAAGCTATAGCCTTTAAGTCAGTTGTGGAGCTAAAGTGAAAGGCACAAGACCTGGGGACATAAAGGATGCGAGAACATTAAACATTAAACTTAATAAAAACTCAAAGGAGACAGAATCCTGTTACAACGAGCACGGTCAGCATTTTCAAAGCTTCCTTCAGAACTCGGGGCCTAAAGAAATGTCAGTGCTTAGGTAGGGAACTTTTGGCGGATCTGTAGGACCATGTTAAATACAGGTGGAAGAAATGAGGCATTAAAACATCTAAAGAGAAACATTTCTAGGACGCAAAGCCAAAGACTCAGACCTCTCCTGTGCTATGATGAGCTTGCGATAGGCGAAGGACGGTGGAGAGCAGAGTACAATAATGCATCTCACGATCCAATTGCACACACCGACATGGTTTTTATTCCTAGGCTTTGCTGATAGGAAAACGTTATAGTAGCTTTAAAACTAGGTGTGGGAATGCATCTATCCACCAAACAGGAAAAACATGGTTGAAGCTAAAAGGGGTCAGGCTCAGACGATTCAGATTGTACCGCCACCCTCTACACAAGTCCCTACCTGCGTTAGATCACCACCGAAGTTGCTGCATTCAGAAGCTGGGGTCGTGACCTCCAGGTAGCCCTCGGGGGCTCCCGCTCCGGCTCCCTGCCCCCCCCCTTCCTCGGGGAGGCAGGGCTGCTGCCAGCAGAGCCCCGATCCGTCCCCGCTCTGCAGGAAGTGCAGGAAGGCGAGGAAGCGGGCGTAGCTGTCGAAGCCGGTGTAGAAGCGCAGCCACTTGGGGCTGCCGCGGAGGGCGCAGGCCGACAGCGTGCCCACCTGGCTCCGGTGGCGGCGCTCCCGCAGCTGGGTGCCCAGGCTCAGCATGGCTTCCGCGCTGGCGCTGGCCTCCGCCCGGGCCTGGCGCAGCTCGCGCTGGGTGGCCGCCCCCTCGGCCCGCAGCTGGGCCAGCTGGTCCTCCAGGGCCTCGATCCGCGCGTCGCGGGCCGCCGTCGCCATGTGCAGCTCCCACTCCCACTGCTTCTGCATCATCACAGCAGGAAGGGCTCCTTTACTACTCGGGCGGCCGCTTGCATCTTGGCTCAGCTGAAATCAGCGTGCCCAGAAAGCTTGGGAGACCCCGAATTAGTTATCTAAGAACTGTTCAGTTATCCGACAATGATCCTGGAGGTGTCTGCAGGTTTTCATTCCACGTTCTTAATGGACCACATCAGCTTATTCTTGTCTCAACTGCTTTAAATTGATCTACGAAACCTGAACACACAGCTGCCCGCTGAACAGAATGGGACACCCCTAGTCCTGGGTTTAGAGGAGCCCTCCATGGCTTCTGGTTTTTACTCCAACTGATCGCTTAACTACAACTAACAGCTCCCTCCGACAGAGCTAAACCTGCTTCAGGAGATCTGTTGTGAAAGAGCTGGGTGAGCTCAGTAATTAGCTAATATCCCGTACCACCGTCAAGGGCTCACCCTTGACATGACACCCCTATTCAGGTGAGGGAAATAAGAGCTGCATCCCATATCCAGATATTGGTCTGGATATTGATCAGATATTGACCTTTTAAAAGCTGAGAGGAGAGACAGGTTAACAAGGCTGAACAAAGAATGCAAATGAAATGGATTAATGAGCCTCAACTGCTTAGTGTCCTTAAGAGCGAGATGAGGCCATTTGGGTCACCGTGATCGTTTGCGTTGCTGTTAATAGCAAATTAATCTCACCCAGATGTTTGAGATAAGCCAAGGTACCAGGTAGACAACAAGACTGGGTATTCTGTTCCCGTCTCCTAGCACTTAAGCACTTGAGCCAAGTTTCCCTTGGCCGTCCTTCTCATTAGAAGACTAAAAAGTTCCTTTAAACCCGAGATATTTGCTCCAGGCCCCGGAGGGCCACAGTCCACCAAGCTGGATTGGTATCTTATAATTGTCAATGAATAAAAGCCTGCGAACTGATCATCAAGACCCATGAAATGAACAACTGATGCAAATCAAGTCATTAAGGGAAGACCGTTTTCAGTAGCTCTCCAGGATAAGGTATCTGTATCAGTGATTTAATAATAATAATAATAATAATAATAATAATAATAATAAAACTTTTATTTTATATAGCGCTCTTAAAGGTCACATCTCAAAACACTTAGCTCAAAAGCAATATCAGCAGATGGCGCAGTAAAATGGTTCAGGCCCGGGAATATATTTGTTCTACCTCAACAGAGGGATATTACAGAACAGCGAGCTGAAAGGAAAAGGAGAAAAGCCGGGGATTCTCTGGAGGAGCAGTTTTCCAAGGCACCGTACCTTCTTCTTCTGGAAGAGCTTGTCCCTGTTCTCCATCGCCACCTTCAGGTTGAGCAGCGCCTGCTCCTGCCGGTGCTGGTCCTGCGCCAGGGTGCGGACCAGGCTGCTGAGCACAGCCGGGTCGGAGGGCAGCGAGTAGTTGCCGTGGTCGTTCTCGAAGCCGCGCTGGACCCGGATGCCCAGCTGCACCGCCCGCACCGTGTCGGTGACCACCTCCATCAGCTCCGCAGCCAGAACCAGGTCTCCTATACTGGAGGCGCCGTCTGGGATGGGAGGGAGGGAGGGGAGGACGCGTGAGCAGGGAGGACAGGGCCGAGCCAGCCTGCGAGCTCGCTCGGCGACCCGACGTTGAACGGGAAAGGGGGCCGGTACCTGGCGTGCTTGGAGCTGGGGTCTTCGCACCTCTCGGCTGTTTTCTCCTCCGTCGGTCCCTGCAACGGCACCTCGGCTGCTCCTCCTTCCAGTCCTGCTGCTCTTCCTCGCCCTCTTCGCCTCGCTGACGAAAGAGCACAAAGGGCGGCTCATTATCCCCAAACCCAGCGTCCTGACGGCCACGAAGAAAACTACAAACGGTCTCAGTAACCATCTGGACCCCAGGGGCACGGGACAGGCAAAACGTGGGACGTAAAAAAGAGGGAGGGTCGGGAGGCAGTGTTAATTTGGGGCCTCTCGACACCTGAAGATACACTGCTTGTGGTGGCACCCCTGTAGCCGATTTTAATCAAACCTCCGGGACTAGATGGCAGATTGTATCGGCGGATCAACAGATGGTATGTTAAATCAGCAATGTGGTCATTAAAGAGCTCATGGTACAGAGGCATCAAACACAGCGCTGGAGTCATCCCAAAATAAAGTGATAAAAAATAGAATCCTAAATTCCTACGCTGTGCAACACCAGGGTCACAGAGTTCCACCTCTTGACCCAAGGTCAAAAGCCTTTACTGGTTGAGCCGCCTGACAGCCTGGCACCGCCGGGTGTGGCCCAGGGATGTTACCTTCCTCTTGCTGGCGAAGTCGAAGACGCTGGGCACGGCGGCGGCGCGGAGACGGACCGTCTGGCCGGTGCGGTCGAACGTGTCCGGGGTGAAGTGCTTGCTGCAGATCACGCTGCTCTTGGTCGGCTCCCACAGCCTCTTGTCGGGCGTCTGCCGGCGAATGGCCGCCCGCCACTGCCTGCGGCGCACCGGGTCCTTAGGAAACCTGGGAAGGAACCAGCGAAAACCTGAAGGCCCCCCAGAGAGAGCAGCTCCTTCCTGTCCCGTGAGGTTTGCGCGGCTACTCAGCCATAATGTGGAAAACCGAGGGTCTCACCCAGCACGTTTCCTGAAGCATCCCAGGGAAAACGGTATCAACTACATGACATGGCAGCTAGTTCCACATTCTAAATTTGATAAGCGGATCTTTCTCTCCCCTGAACAGAAAGGACAAGAATCACAAAATTCTGTCAAATTCTGGGCCAAAACTAAGTTTTAGAAATTGAAAGCTGGGTCTCTAATACTAGTTAATTACACTACCACATCTTTTAAAACAAAAAATCGAAGTATTCAGAGTCAAAATGAAATGCAAACCTGTTGCCTAAAAACAATGGAACCAACATGCTTGAATAAAAGGAACAGTGCAGCTGGTCAGCCCTCTTTACACAGAAATCAAAGCCTGACGTTATTTCTGAAGCAGAAACCTGCAGTACAGAGCTCAAGTACTCATTAGTAAGCTGGGCTCTGTGATGGGACTTGTTGATCTTCAGCATGCTTAATGTACAAAGGTAGAGACACCAGCATATTCTGTGGTGCCAGTCAGATGTCTGGAAACCTTGTCGCATTCAATAATTTTCATCCATTTTGACAGAAATGAGCTTTTCCTTAAAGACAGTGATGCTCTGGAGATCAATAAGCTCTAATTGCAATTCCTGTGATGCTAACTTAGTTTGGTTATCTGACAATTAAGTGGAGAAGAAGTGCAAGTCTGACCTCTGAGTGAGAAAAGGCTGGCATGTTTGTAATGCGCCATCTAATGCTCATGTACTGAAATTAAAAAAATATATATTACAGGCTGACCATTCTGAAATAACTTCTTCACACCCGAAGAAGGCTCCACAGCCAAAACAGCGCGTTTCCTTTCTTCTCTTTTTCAGCATGGAATAAACCTTTACTTGTTCCTTTGCAGCCTACGCATGCTGACGCAGCTCCCTACTTGAACTATTCTGAAATGTGACATGGGCACGAATAAAACTTCCCAACCTGCCACATATGGTCCTCGGTCCATAGCTTATCCACCCCTGCTATAAGAACTGGCATTTACACTAATAATGGAAGTGTTTTTTTTTTCCTATTTGGACTTCACTAAATGGCTCCATCATGCATTCCCTTTGCTAGTTCCGGGAAAGAGGCGAATACACAACTATCTTCTTTACAAATATCCCTTTACAATGGTCGACTCTAAGGAGTTGAACTTCAAACAGACGCAAGCCTGCTCGAATGATATGTCAGGTGAGGTCCAACACCTTTAAGACTGAGCATTTTTTCCCCCCATTTGGATTATCAGAGCCGACACCAGAGTGCAGCTCCGTACCTGTGGAAAGTGATGCCCCTGTTCAAGGTGTCTTGGCTCCTCTCCTCGGAGCAGTTGACGGCGACGCAGCTGGAAGGCATGTCCAGGCTGGACTCGTCCTCAGCAGACCCCTGGAACAGAACAGCAGAGCCCCATTCAAAGAGACAGCAAACATGAGAATGTCAGGGAAAGAAGTCAAATAAAATTCCCCAGTTGTCTGTTTTATGGCAATGCCTAAATCTTGCAGGGACTTTGATCTGGGTGTTTTGATCTCTTCATGAACAAAAGACTCCCTCCCTGACTTTAACCAGTCGCAGGGTCTTTTAAATGAGAAGTGTTTGGATCCTTGTCCAAAACACTTCCTGGATTTTTCCCCACATCGGAAGTACACCTTTGGCAGGTAGCGCCCTCTTGTGGCCTCTGCCAGGCGACATGGGAATGCATCACCCCTATATACCTCAACCACACCCCTGACTCTTGAGCTCTCTTGCATGTGGAGCCAATTACATTGCTCTTTGGTGCGCTGTTTTGATCACATCACCCTTTTAAGCACGCCCAATCTGCCCTCCCACGCCCCATTCCTTGACACAGTACAGAAACTGAAACACTGTAGACCCCAAGTGAAGAAAATAATCCAATTACATTATTTAACATTTCTCAGAAATTGAGCACTTATAGGTTTTTAGGTCAGAGGATATTCAATTCAAGCTTTAGCAAATCAACTTTAGCATCCTTTACAAACAGAGGGTGACTAAGAAAGCCAAAAGCATCAGGGAGTGTGTGTCTCACCCCCTTCATTGAGAATTCACACTCCTCCCATCTGGGAGACGCCTCTGTGCCCCCAGGTGTAAAACCAACAGACTCAGGAAATCTTTCATCCCCACTGCAATCACACTCTTAAACAATGCAAAGTAACTACCTTGTCTCTTGTTTCTTTTCTCCTGTGACACTACTGTATTCTCTTCCCTTTTGATAATGTTTATTTGTCACTGTGTTGTTTGACTGTGCCGTAAAAAAAAAAAAAAATCCCCTAGGGGACAATTAAGCTTGAATTGAATTGAGGACATGCAGAAACACATTAATATTCTCTCATCTCTCATATCTACACACAACGACAAGTCCTGTGCTTTAAATTAATCATTTAGATTCCATAAACTGTATTTCAGTGAAGGGTACATACAGTCCACGATGTATTTTAAAACCTCTAAAACTTACAGTGCCTAAAGAACTTTGCACACCCTTTCCAAAGTAACATTTTGTGGCCTAACAGCCTGAAATGAAGACTCGTTAAGTCCAAATTTATTTTCCTTTTATGTCCATATAAATCAAACCCACAGCTTTATCCCAGAGGTGTTTGAACAGCTCCTTGTTGCCCAGAGCCAAATCTTTAGCTGAGATTCATTACCCAGCAGATCAGACTTGCAGGAAGGATGATTTTATTCTAAAATCGCCAGACCTACGACAGTTGAACACAGGAGGGGGCTAATTAGCTTGCTGTACGATCTGGAAAGCAACTGGTTACACCAAAGCCAATATACAACTACTGTCACTAAGGGGTGTTGCACTCATCCAGGCCATTTTTCAGGGTTTTGTATTTGTAATCACGTTTCAGAAACGAGCATGTGTTTGTCACTGGCATGGCTGTTCGTAACAATGTGTAAATAGAGGTAGAAATTTCGGATTTGGAGGCGTCCTTATTTAAGGCTGTTAAGACCACAAAATGCGTTACTTTAGAAAGGGTGTGTAGACTTTCTCAAGGCACTGCATCGCTCTAAATGTCAAGCGTTTAATCCGTCTGTATCCGATAAAACTAACATCTGCTAGCTTAAAGCAACATTCCTAAGGTATATACAATAATGAAGCATTTGTTCAGTCTTGTTGATAAAATACAAATAATACGCACCTTTCCTAACAGAAACTATACTTTTATCACCGGCGAAAGATGGCCGACCTCATTCTAAGACAGGATGTGACGTAATCGGATACCACAACAAAAATGACGGACATGAAATCGCTCCGCCTTTTAACTGTCGTTGAAAACACTTGAGCCGAGTCCACAAGCGCATAAGGAGAAGGGATTTTACACAACACCTACCTTCCTAACTCCGAAGACAAATTCCGTAGGCACAGCGTGATCCCTCAGGCGAACTGTTTGCCCAGTTCGGTCAAACATTTCCTCTCTGAAATGTTTGCTGCACAAAACGCTAAATTTCGTGGGCTCCCAAAGTTTGTTATCGGTGGTCTGCCGTAGAACTGCAAGTCTCCACTGATTTCTTCTCAACCGATTCTTTGGAAAACTGAATATTACGACAAAACATTTCACATCAAAACCGAACATTACACCGGTTTTAAACTTCACGGTTTTAAAAGTGAAAATGTCCTTCCCCAATAATTCTCAACATGCACTTGCTACACCTTCAGGACAAAACGTTTTACATATTTAATCTCTCCGTACAGCACGCAAAACATCGGTTGCCGAATTGATGCTTTAAGCGATATTCATTCTCTAAAAGCATGCACGTACGACCACCGAGCAAGTTCATAGCTCATATTAGTTAATTACCCGTGGAAGCTGATTCCCCTCCTCAACGTGTCTTCATTGCGGAGTTCTGAGCAATTAATAGCAGCGCAATAGACGGGCATGTCGTATAATATGAACGCTATGAAGGGGAAAGAGAACATCGTATCCAATTTATGCAAAACAATTAATTGACAGTAGCAGTCTCAGTTTGAAAAGGTGGTGTTCTTGTTTTTATAGCGCGACACTTACCGTAAAATACTTTTACTTGCATATTAGAAAACAAAAACGGTTTTGCATTTCACTAGACGAGTCGCCACCTGTTCTAAGATAACTAAACATAAAAGAACAACCACAATAACACACTCACAGATCCCCCAATACCTAGACAAGATGGCGACTGTCCCCGCGCGTAAAAATGACGTAATGTGCAGACTAGACTGCTAAAACTGCACTTGATGCAGCGCGGTCTATAGGGATTGGGGTGGATTACATATAGACAAAGCAATGTTAATACCCGGCACTGAAAGCGATGACAGTGCAAACTGCAGTATTAGACCACTACACTAACATGCGAGTAAATCCTACTTTATAACATGTTGACAATCTCTTTATTTTATTCCCCCCAGTTAATTTCACCACATTCTGATTTTTTACTGCCCACCTTGTCAATTAATACTGTTTGTCAAACTGGTAAATAGGACACACTCCATACTGAAGATGGTCAATAACAGAATTTCTTCAGACAAATACCCTCCCTTCTGCATTTTATCTTCAGCCTTGTTCTCTCAAACATTTCAATCAAAGAGGATTTCAGTCATCTGCCTGGGATGCACTGCAGGTCCTGTTGGGAATCATACACATAGAAACTGGGCGTTTTTGAAGCTGGGGGCAGAGCGCAGGAACAGGTTAACCTGTGGTTTAAACAAGCAAGCCCGCCACTTAAAGGCATTGATCACAGTAGGGGTGCTGCCCTAGGACCTAGGACATCACCAGGACCAGAGCTAGGAAACACTGCTGTTGAAGTTACCAGCAAGATCGCGGTGCTCGAGCCCTTGTTTGAGCTTTTCCCTGGTCAACATTCAGCATCTTCTTCCACTGGTAACACTAACCGCAGGGTTGAGCAAACTTCATTTTGCCATGTGCTGTAACACCCACAAAACATTCAGCCTCAGAATCTGAACTGAAAAAAAGAATCCTAGTGAATTCTCACAAAGCTGTCAAGGAATAAGACATGAAGCCCGAGCCCAACATCCTTCATACGCAGTTCACCATGAATATAGGGTTCGTGGCCATTGTTAGAAAATGTTACTAACTCACAACGTGAATAACGTTATTTCAAGCTAGGGGCGAGCATTATCCTGTGGGTTATTCCATCACACCTTCTAATTCCATGAGAACACTTCATAAGGTACTCATGGGATTCAGCAGGAGACCCTGGTTCTCATTAGAAAGTGTGACCAAGCTGATGCAAAAGTGAATTAGTGCAGTAACTGCTTGGCACACAGCCTCTAGGCAACAGTTCAGAAACATTTCCCCTCATACCATCAGCATAGGCTGTGCTGATTTCAACACACTACAGCTCTTAAGTACAATAACAGGGGGTCACAGTCTTCTTGTTGGCATCTTTGTACAGAACCGTACTGTGGCAACAGAAACGGGATTATGTGATCCAACACACACAGGGAATCCATCACTCCTCGAATGTATTGGCAAAAGCTGACAGTTATTCCAAGGAGTTAGGAGACAGGTTTAAAACAGGGAAACTCCCTGCTGTGGGGTGTTATGTTACACACAACTGTTTCATCAGCTTTCTTGGTACAAAATATTTAGGTCTACTGTACATCCTGTACAGATAAGGGAAACCGAACAGAGAGGGAGTTTATCTGCCATATGTACATGCATAGTACACTGGGATTCTTATTCTTGCCATCCCCTTGGGACATGCACAGTACAATACACAACACCACACAGTGCACAATCCGCCACAGGACGGTAAATAAGAATGACACTGGCAGCTGACCACTGTTCAAAGCAACACACAACTGGTAGCACGGAACATAAGCATAAGGAAATACAATCCCCAGTTTTGAAAACTGACATGGCTTGTCCCCGGGTGCAGATTCCTCACCACTACTGCACACCCCTGTCCACCTGAGAGTTCTTGCAGCGTTTTGCCCCGTGCACTCTGGTCTATGGTGTGCGTGCGGCACACAGCTGCGACTGCACCAGTTTCAGAGACCGGAGTGCAAGAGCCCTCATCAACGTGCACAAGCACGGCCCTCGCCTCACCACTCCCTTGCTAGAAAGAGGGTTGTAGCAAGGAAGCCGAGTTAACCGATGAGATCCTTACACTCATATAGTGTGCCTTCCACTCAAAGCTCTTTACAGTTACTGGGGACTCCCCTCCACCAGCAGCAATGTGTAACCCCACCTGGATGACGCAACGGCGGCCAGAGAGCACCAGTACGCTCAGCACCAGTGCAACATCGCCATGACACTGGGGTAACACCCCTACTCTTTTCAAGAAACACCCTGGGACTTGTAATTACCACAAAGAGTCAGGACCTAGGTTTTAAAAATCATCCAAAGGACAGCACCTTTTTTACACTGTCATGGCCCTGTCACTATAGTGAGGCATTAGGTACCACACAGACCACAGGGTGAGCGCCCCCTACTGGCCCCCCTAACACCTCTCCCAGCAGCAACCTCAGCTCTTCCCGAGGAGGTCTCTCCTCCAGGTACTGGCCAGGCTCACACCTGCTGAGCTCCACTTCTGAGGTCTAGGGGGTGATAGGGCTGAAGAACCCACTTTTTAATAGGACATACCTCCGTCTTATCCGTGAAATCAAATTCCGTGGGCACAGCGTTCTCCCTCAGGCGAACATTCTGGCCGGTTCTGTCGAACATCTCCGGTCTAAAGTGTCTGCTGCACAAATAGCTGTTTTTCGTGGGCTCCCACAGAGTCCTGCCGGCACCCTGTCGGCACACAGCTAAGCGCCACTGGATTTTTCGCACCTCGTCTTTCGGAAAGCTAGGAGCATGTGGGGGCAAAAAACACCAATGTGTTTTACAACAGTAAAATATTTACAGCGGTTCACTGAGTTTCTAAAACGGTATTTATTAGTCGTTCGTGCTATTTCGGTTTAAAACAGTTACACAGTAACGACAACAAACAGCAGTAAAGGTCTTAAGAGGTGTAATAAATACAATTTAAATAACCATTTTTAAATAATACACATCTCTGAATAGAGAAATTTAGAAAATAACTTTTAAAACTGAAGGGAAGGCGTGTACATTAGTAATGTGCATGTCGTTTTGGTCGAATACTTGATTTATAACCCAGGCAAAATAAAGCGACCATACAAAGTAAGGTACATAAATCAAAGCACATCTGACACCAAATCCCGATGCGATCCTAAAGCTTTCAATGTTAAATATCAAAAGTTAAACAATGAAGATTGACACCTCAAATGCACCCCTACGTCTTTACAGATGCGAATTAATCTTCACTGGGTTATACCACAGGTAATTGGGAGTTATTTATATACTCTTTTAACTTTATTAGTATTTGTGCTACTTTGGGGTATATAACTTAGTATTAGACAGCGAACGTCGTTGGGCCCGTGCGACGCTGGACAAACTGCATTTTTGGAGGAACATTTAATAACGTAGCATCCATATCGTACAACATTACCTGTGAAATGTTATCCCGTGGTCCCTTGTGCGCGCTGAGCGCCTGACCGAACAGTTAAAGGCAGCGCACTGCTGCGGCATCGCAGTTAAACCCAGGCGCTTGACGGGGACTAAAATACGGGCGAAAAGCGAGAGTTGACCCAAACAAGATGGCGTCCACACTTCCTGCTTCCGGGAGCTCGCTGGAAGGTGCCCAACTCCGCCTAGCTACGTCACTCTCTACGTAAAAGAAACACGGAGAGCCAGAGGAAAACTTTTATACAGGCATTTTGCTTCTCGACAGGAACGCAAACGTACATTACTGCAATTCCTGGCCAATGGTTGTGTAGTGTATCGATTTCAGAAATGCTCTTATATGGTAGTTCTGTGTTATGTAGTCTTTTCCCGTCGCTGTCAAGATTCTTACAATTTAAATACAGATTTAACAATATTAAAATACATTTGAAATCTTGTAGATATTGCACACAAATTAAAACTGTAGTACGTGTTTGGTTGTACGATATGTGTAATGTTGGTACAGGTAATGTTGTACGATATGGATGCTACGTTATTAAATGTTCCTCCAAAAATGGGAACCTCTGTAACAGGGGTCACCTGGCACTAAGTGTGTTATGGAAGGGGATGTCTCCCCCTAGGATACCTGGGCAGTATTGCATCCTCCAGCTGTATGAGTACCAGCTCTTTAGCGTAGAGGAATTCCCCTGGGTGTGGCTCTGGAGGTGCTTGGGAGTGACCGTGCTCGAGTCCCGATCGGTCAACCTCCTGAAGGTGCAGAACCAGCATGGTGCTTTCTTTCACACTACCACATATTCTGAGCTGCGTCACTGCTGAGTGGATCGCAACTTTGGTGAAAGGACTAGCATGGAAGGGGCATGGAGTCAATGGAACGGGCATAGTTTGGTTTTTTTAAAGATGTTCATAAAAAACTGTAATGGTTGATGAGTAGAGAAACTCCTCTTGCCCCAGTCTTCCCTGTCATACAGTACCCCATGACGGCCTGAGAATCGTATCCGAGGGTTTGTTGAAAAAGTCCTTGGGCAGCTTCTGCTACCATGATAACATGGCTGGCCACCTCGTTCCCCACACCCACCACTCTTTGTTATAAAGAGATGCTTTTGTTCTCGGTCCTTGAAAGCACAAGCGCCACAGTTCCCCCATGTGTCCAAGACAAGAGAGCACTTGGCATAAAAATATTTCTGTTGAAGCCAGTGCTGGCTCAGAGGTGGTAAGCTGTAGACATTAAGCTTCATATTGTACAGTCACAGCCTCCCAATTCCCTGTGCCCCTCATTTCCCTTCTGGTTGCGCTACTTCCAGTATTTCTCACGGTGGTTATACCGTGAATTGGCTCGTTCTTCCTTTGGTTTCAATATCCCTTCACTGTCTTTAAGTTTCTAGTGTCAATGGGCCATGAGAAACTGTGGTGCCCTGCGATAACCTTTGAAACCTCCAAAATGCTACAAGTGGCACCACGTAACTCAACCCATCGGGCTCCTAAAGTTCCATTTCCCCCCAGTTCTATATTGCACTGACTGGGAGCAAACTTCCTAGGAAAGCGATAGAATAGAGCAAGCTATCGCACATGATGGTGTGGTCCTGTCACAGACATTTTGGGGTCACCCATGTTTTTCCGAATAACCAGACAGCCACTGCTTAATTTATCAAAGCCCCTTTAGACAACGTCTATATTGAATAATCCGGGCTGTTCAGAACCGGAGCAGGCACCTTTCCAGCCCAAGTCACTGTCTTGCCTCCCTTCCTCCACCTTCTCTAAGTACTGGGGACACTCCAAGAGCCCAGGTTTTCAATTGAGCCAGTGACAACATTCCCTGTTATTCAATGCATTTAGCACACTGGTATTGCAGAAACTAAAATGGATTGGCAGGCATGGGGCAGTGACATCACTATTAGCAGAGTCATAGTCCAGTGTGGGACCCGTCACTCAGACATGAGTCAGCCACTGCATCAGGCAGCTCACCATGCCAACAGCGTCCCCTGCAGGCTGGGCAGCCACATGCCACCCATTCCTTAAGGCACGGTCTCCTGCAGAGCACCCCATCAGCCCGTCTGGCTGAATCTACAGCAGTCACGTGATGACAGCATCCTCGCAGGAAGCGACTCATTACTGGCAAATAACCGGGGCTTCCAAAAATAAAAAAATACACATTTAAAATAGAGAGCTGACTGGAATGGTCAGTACTGCATCGGAAGAAAAGCAAGACGAATAATGACGCAGGTTTGCCACTAGTAAAATTTAATTCCCCACAGAAGATCGTCAAAACATTCAAGAAAGAAACATCTCAGAGGCAGACTGAACACCATGGAATTTTGGTGGAGATAAATACATTAATTCAATACATTTTATTCCCCTCCTCTCCTTGAAATGCTCAGAGGTTATATTCCACCTTCAGGATCAGTTTCGCTCCAAAGAGGAAAGTATTAAGCACTTTGAGTTGACAGAAATAAACCACGTAGCCCCCCACCCCCCAACACACAGCAGTACCTCACCCCTCCCAGAATAAAAAAAAGAAACATTTCAGTGCTTCATCGATCTGAACAAAGTAATTACCGTGCTGTGCAAGCATATTTGTAGATAACTGTTGCTCTTCTGGACAAGCAGTTTCTGCAGACAAGCTCCAAAGATTTGGATGTGTCAACTGTGTCCTCTTCCTCAGACAGGGATCTGTGAAAATCCCGTTCCAGATAGCTGTGATAATTCATGGTAAAATGTCCTGGGATCCTGTTTGAATTACAGACACAATTATAATTTAGCAGATCCGCAGTCCGCAGACGGTTTAGCTGAATGCATGTTAGCCCTACAGTGTTGCGATCAAAATAATATCACTATTAAAACACGTTAGTTTTAAGGAACAAGTAATAGGTTTATCCCCTGCTGAAAAGAGGAGAAAGGAAGCACAACGTTTCAGCTGTGGAGCCTTCTTCGGGTGTGAAGAAGAAATGCTGACGTGAAGACACCCGAAGAAGACTCCACAGCCGAAACGTTGTGCTTCATCTCTTCTCTTTTCAGCAGGAGATAAACCATTACTTGTTCCTTTGCAGCCTGTGCATGCTGATGCAGCCGCCTACTTGAACTACAAGGCGAGTTTGAATACTGCTCCAACCTGGAGAAGCTCTCCGCGCTCTGTCACAGATTCGGGTTCTTCTGCCAATTCAACTTCCAAAACACACCGTCTCCAAACCTCCTCTGTATCATCTCCCTGGCCTGCGCATGCACACCAAGAGAGAAGCAGGAAATACACAATCATGGACAAAGATCAGGCCAGAGCAGAAGTGATCTCCTGCAGGATCAGACCTGTATTAAAACCCCATTTTGCAAACACATTTCCAATGGTTTCGAGGCCGTGCTCGCAAAAACCCTGATCTCCGCGCCGAGACCCTTCACACCATGTCGAGACCGTATCTGGAATCATCCCACGGTCTTCTCCACTGAGTGTAAAATGGTCACTCGGCAGGGGTTTAAGGGTAGCACCCCGAGAGACTTGATCGGCCTTTCAGGAATAATACAATTTATTCCATGGGTGTACAGCTGTTCATCTCAAAGGATCCAAAAACACCTCACACACCGGAGGGCACCCACTTCATCCATCAGTGCAGGACTGCAGTATCCCCATCCTGGGTGTCACACCTCAGCGTTCCTCACCGAGTGAAATAACGTGGGAACTTTAAATAGGCGAGGTTGTGCGCACCCAGGGTAGAATTTAGCCAGAACACCGGGGTGAACACCCCTACTCTAACGAGCAGTGCCTGGACATCTTGCAACCAAGGATCTAACTTTAGTCATTAAGATCCCATCTGCAGAACAGCACCTCCTACAGTGTTGGGAAACTGTGATCAAGAAGGAAAGCGCCCCCTGCAGGTCCACCCCCACTATGTATTGCAGCAACCTAATTTTCCTCAAAGGTTGCCCCATCTCCTTTCAGACCTGGCTCAGACCTTGCTCAGTTTCTGAAATCCAGCACAATCAGGCTACACAGCAGCGACCCTGTTAGTTATTAGTTGCATTCAAAGGAAGGTCTGATAGTAAAGGAGGTCAAATGCAGAGAGATACCCTTACCTTTTCAATTGCTGCTTTTTGGACTTTTTCACACTCCAAGATTTTATTTGAGGTACACTGCATGATCAATCCCATCTTTTTAATTTTGGGCACTAACAGAAACAAACAAAGGGTGAGGGAACCAACAATAGAACAATTTCCATGGGATCTTCAGCTCCCTTAAATCCCTGAAGACAAAATGGGAATAAATACCCAACCAAAACCTCTAGAACTTACTTTTATGATAGTAAGTAGTAACTTCACGTAACTAGTAAGTAGAAGTACTATAAGTAAATCTCAACTCCCCCCACCTCCCACCCTTAAAACTGGGCCGTCATGATGCAGCAACATCTCCTGGCTCTCCTTTCAGCTGAGCTTCCAACTGGCACCCCAGAATGACAGTACTCATTAAAGCAGCTCTTCTACAGCAGGAAATCTCCACTCTCCCCAACATTAATTACATTATTGTGACCCCCCCCCCCCACCAGAAAAAAGTCTATCTCTTTAATTAAGCTGCTAGGCAGCTGGGATCTGAGCTGGGAGGAGGAGGAGGAGAAGAGATCTTGGTGACTGATCAGGAAAGCCCCGTCTTACAACATTTAAGGGGTCACCATAAGCAGACAGGTGAGATTAGTGCTTTCGAGAAGGAAGGAGTTTTCTTATCACAGCATGCAGTGTGGGGGTTCAAGGGGACATCACAGCCAGGGAGCTCGTTCTCTGTGGCAGGGGTTCAAAATTGAGCTAGAAGGTGGCATAACTGGAATATTCCGCTTCTCCTGTTCAACAGCTTGGCATTTTAGCATTCCAATGAAATACAAAAAGCAACCTCCAGCATGTTTAAGAAGTGAATTGTGTTACCAAGTCAATTAAGGGGTGCAGAGCGCATGTGGGCCCCCAGGACCAGATTTGGAAACCCCTGCTCAACGGGACTACAGAGAAGCAGGTGCAGTGAGAGAACGGCTGACCTCTCATTGGTGACCACTCTGTAGAACAACTGAGACACCCATGTGGCTCATACCTGTGTAGACTGAGCCCACGGTGGCTTCACTCAGTGGCAGGTCGCTGACCAAGGTTTGGACCGAGAAGATGTACTTGGTGCCTGACGTGAGACTCTCCACTGTGGCGCTGTTGTTGGACACCACCTTTACACCACCATAGCCCCAGAAAGAGGTGCTGTAGTTCACGCAGTACTGGACAGGGACCCCCTGCAGTTTTTCGGGCACCTCCCATGTCAGAGACACGTTGTGGAGGTTGATGGCCTGAAATGTGATGTTTCCTGGCTTTACAGGTCCTAAGAGGAAGTAAAAAAAATCTATGAAGACAAGACCTCAGAGAAAACTCATAACGACACCTTCTGTTTGCGTTGACTGGTGCTTGAACTGGTGATTCAGGGCCTTTCTGATTAGAATTGCTTTTGGATGTTCATTGAGCCTGTGCTGTTACTGCACCGACCTGTGCTATTTTATGGCAAGTACTGGAACCCCTGCTTCCCTGCCCTGCCAGATTGGAGCGCTTGTCTCCCATGAAGGCGAGTAGAAACGATCTACTGGAACTGTAGTCCTCAGAGCTATCTGCCTTTTACACGGCAAAAGAAAGGAAATAATAAAAGTGGTCAACAAAGTTAAAGATGACATTCTTTAACACTGCAGACTCTACTGACTCTGCAGGTCCCGCCAACGCCAAGGATCGATCCAGAAAGTCTTTTTATAGAACATAACAACACCCGAAAAGAGATACTTTCTAAGGGCTAGAAGGAAGAACCCAATAGTGTTCACCAAGGTAGTGGGTTGAGTCCACTGCTATAACCCTCTTCTCCACTTGAGAAGGGCTTCAGCCCACCAGCTGTTCCAACAGCACAACAGACCGTATATTTATTTTAATCCCTCGGTCTCGGAGCAATTTAGGGAAGTAATTCTGAGCGAGTTGATGCTGGGCATTGGGTAACAAAAGTAATAGCAGTCTAGTAGCACAAGTCAACTTTGTGTCACAGCTGAGTGATTATCTCCAGGAGGCGTCAGGCTGCTCTGGAAGATTAAAAAAACACTGCTGATACCAGACAAAAGTAAAAGGAAATATGGGCCCAAACGAATAAACAATGTTTGCATGTATTCAATGAGTTCCCCCTAGTGCACATGAAGGTGCACTGCCCGTGGATTTGTTGAACTTACTGGTGATCGCCCATATTTTCACATCATTGCTTGGAAGGGAGTAGTCTTCCACATGAGTGAAGATGGTGATAGTGTAGTTCTTTCCTGATTTCAGGTTCTGGAATGTGGTGTTCAACCATGAGGTATTCACACCACACTCCATGCAGCCGTCCAGAGTGACTTCGTAGGAGAAGTAGCTTCCATTTGCCGGTTTGCCCCACAGCACAGTTATTGAGTCACTAGTGGTGAGCGTATTAACATTGGTGACCGGGTCAGGAACTGCATGAGACACAAGGGCAACAAATTCAACAGCGCTTTTAGTGGGGAGTGAGCGTCAAGGTGGCGCAGTGGGGAGCATTGCTGCCTCACAGCACTGGGGCCCTGGGTTCAATTCTGGACCTGGGGTGCTGTCTGTGTGGAGTTTGCATGTTCTTCCTGTGTTCCCATGGGTTTCCTCTGGGTGCTCCGATCAATTGGCTTCTAGGAAAATTGGTCCTAGCTCAGTGAGTGTGTGTGCTTGTGTCACTGTGTGTGCTCTATGATGGAATAGTGTTCTGTTCAATGTGTATCCTGCCTTGTGTCTGTTGCTTCCTGGGATAGGCTCTGGCACCCCCGTCACCCTGATTTGGATGAAGCGGTTAGAAAATACATGGATTGATATAACTGGGGAGTGCAATGTATGGTTTCATTGCTCTGTGAACCGCACAGGCCCTGGTGTGCTCGTTCTACAGTGAACGTTGGGGGTGCCACATCACTACTGACTGGGATCTTTTGCATATTGCTAACTACCCTGGGAAAACAAACCCCAGACGCTTTTTTTACTGCGTGTAACACAGAATTAATCTTTCTGCTCTATCCTCCTTCTACAGGAAATTCCAAAGGAATCAGACCTTTCCCAGACAAAAAGACAGTAGGCTGTGTGCTTGGCGTGCCCCTCTAAATTCGGAGAGGCAAGCTAATTGCTCAGTGTTCCCCTTTCGACTGAAATGTAGTTTCCTCATTTTAACCAGGCAGAAGGATACACAGAATGAAGCAGGCAGGGTAACGATGGGTAGACTCAGAACTCTCGATCTGAAACCGTTTCTCCCTATAACTCCTGACACAACAGCTCTCTGGGCGCCCACTATGCCGTGTCTTGGTTCATCAGGGAGTGAACTGCAGCGCGTTACTGGAGAAGGAACCTCCCGTGTTACTCACCTGTGTAGCCCACAACCCACACAGGATCTCCCTCCAGCGTGGTGTTGGGGATGAACGCCACGATGGTGAAATTGTACTTGCTCCCCGGCGTGAGCCCACTCATGACCACACTCAGATCGCTGACGATGGTGGAATTCTTGTAGCAGGGGCCGGGAGAGGGCACCTGCACCTCCTGCACCTCCACCCTGAACCACGAGCTGTTCCCAACAGGCCTCGACCAGCTGATATTCACCGATTCCGCTCGGCTTTCCGAGACTTCGGCGTTCCTGACCGCTCCGGGCCCTGCGCGGGGAGGAAAAAGAGCGTTCCGAAGAGAGGCGACAGCACACGGACACACAGCGACAATCTTTCACATGAACACAGCCCAGGGGGAAACTGATCAGGAGGAGAACTGAGGCGAAAAGCTCTTAAGCAGGACTAATTCTTTAATTAGTATTGCCTCAAGAGGTGCGTCATTTCCTAATTCCTCAAATGGGGATGCCAGTATACCATGGAGAACAACCATAACAATCCCAAATAACCATAATAATCCCAGACACCTGTTCTCCAGACTGCTGAAGCCAAACTGCCCCACCACATTACCTGCCTCAACCCAACTCTGCAACACATTTTTAGAGTTTTAGCTCCAAGATTGACCACATCTGGCATCTCAATCTCTTCACCACGTTACCTTCACACCTCCTCTCTGCAGGCCTAGTTTCGATGGCTCTCCTCTGTCAGGTTTCCCTCTGCTTGACTCTGCATGCCTCAGGAAACTGGTTTTATATATGAACTCCACCACCAGTCTGTTAGATCCCATTCTCCCTGCTTTTTTATTCCATCCTGGCTCTCTATTCTGGGCCCTGTTGCCCTCACTATAATAAATGCGTCTTTGAGTACTGGTGTGGTACCAACAGTCTTTGAAACAGCTGCAGTTACCCCTGTGCCCCCCAAAAATAATATGGCGCTGGACAACCTAAACATTTTTCGCCCTATATCCAACTTACCTTTTCTTCTAAAAATGTTGGAATGTGCTGTTACAATTCAGTTAAATAACCTTCTCATTGCAAATAAACCCTCCGTTCCGGTTTCAGACAATTACATAGCACAGAAACTGGCTAAAGTCACTAACAATCTTCTTATGGCTTCTGATTCTAGTTCCCTTTCTATCCTTATTCTCCTTGACCTCAGTGCTGTTTTTGATACTGTTAACAGTGACATCTTACTTTCTCGTTTTGAGAATGAGTTTGGACTGTCGCACATTGTTCTTAAATGCTTCGACTCTTACCGTAATAATCGCCAACATTTTGTCTCTTTTGGGGATTTCAGTTCTGAGGTTGGGCTCATTAAGTCTTGGTGTTCCTCAGGGCTCAATACTGGGCCCGCTACTGTTCAGCATGTACATGCTCCCACTTGGTCAGCTATTAAGATCACACAGACTAAAAGATCATTTCTTTGCTGATGATACTCAAATCTGTTTAATTCCATCTCTGCCATAAAAACCAGGATGACTCAAAATTCAATTCATGTAAACTGTGACAAAACTGAAGTCATGCTTCTCGGCACCTCCCATTACTGTTGACATGAGCAACATATGGTAAACACATAATTCTTACACCTCAGAAATATTGTCAGACTACGTCTTATGTGGTCGCCAACTGTTACGGAAAAGCTGTCTCAAATTGATTACTGTAACGCCCTACTCCCTGGGGTATCTAAATTCACATTGCACAAACTCCATTATGTCCAGAATTCGGCAGCCAGAATCCTGTCCAAATCGTGTGCAAGTGATCACATTACTCCTGTACTGGAGTCCATTCACTGGCTTCCTGTCAGGTGTCGTGCTCACTTACTAGGCTCTGCATAGCTTGGCCATAATCTGGACTTTCTGCTGCTGCACCCCAAAGCTCTGGAATTCTACCCTTAAGAATATCAGAGAGTCACCTTCACTCGGCACTTTTATTTAACTGGTTCTGTACCTGCCCCTTTGCTTTCTTACTGCATTCCAAACCCTTACTGTAATTGCGCTATCTACTCTTATTGTGTGCTTTGAGAAGCAACTTTTAAAGGTGCTGTATGAAATAGTTATTTTTTCTCATGCCATGTCCTTTAAGTTTGCACAGGGCTTTGGGGCGCCCTCTTGTGGCTTTAGGTGGAACGTCGACTCTCTTTTCCTGCCGCCGGACTCAATACGATTGGAAGTTTCATTGGAAGTTTCATTTCACACCTCTCTGCACCCATTCTGACTTCACACCTCTTGATTGGCCTCTCTTTCTGTCCCCTGCTCCCGCCTCTCACTCCTCCTCCCTCCCAACCTTTGTTCTCCCGCTACTTTACCTTTGCCTACTGCCCTGTCTCCCTCACACCTGAAGAAGGCTCCACGGCCGAAACGTTGTGTTCTCATTCTTCTTTTTTTCAGCATGGAATAAACCTATTACTGTTCAATATGATGCCTACTGCCGATCATGTGTAGAAGGGCTGTCTTACTGGTGAAGGCTGATATGTTGACTGGGTCCCCCTCAATGGAGCAGTCCGCCACCAGCGCGATGACCTGGAAGGTGTAGAACCCCCCAGGGGTGAGGTTACGCACGGTGACCTGCTCTTCGACAGTAAGGAGAGCCGTGAAATTGGTCACACCTTCGCTGTCCACCTCCACTCGGTACTTGTCTCTGTTGCCGATGGGGGCGCTCCACGTCAGGGCGATGAGGTTCTGCGTTTGCGAGCTCACCGCGAGATTTGTGACACATTCGGGCTCTACGTGAGAGCAGAAGGGGAGGGGAAAGAGAGAGAGAGATGAGGGCACGAGCCCCTGCAACACGAGAAATCTCGCGTCGCAAACTGCACATGTGCAATCAGTACCAAGAACCAACAAACCACAGGACCAGGTCTGAATCCAGGGTACAGCTCCTTATCAGGATTCTCCCAGATCTGGCAAAAAGAATCCTGACTCCACACCTCTTTATTATTATTATTATACTATTATTAATAACAATGCAACCTGGGTTATGTGATGGCAGCCAAAATACACCAGTACACTCCCCACACACCAGCTCTCAGTGGGGAGGAGAACAGAGTGATGGAGCCAGTTCAGAGAGGGGGATTATTAGGAGGCCATGATGGTAAGGGCCAGGGGGGACATTTACTCTTTTTGAGACACACCTTGGGATTTTTAATGACCGTGAAGAGTCAGGACTTTGGTTTTACATCTCATCCGAAGGCGCCTTTTTACAGTATAGTGATAATTCATTGGTGATTAATTACCCATCAACTATATTAATTAAGTGGGGATTAATGCAATACTCCGAAACATCAGACTTGGAGACGGAGGGACAGAAATAGAGGCAGTGGTATAGACCGGCAGCAGGCACACACGCATCTCCTGGTTCCCCTGGAGTAGCTGGTGTTAATGTTTTTTATTGGTGGTGCTCTTGCGTGTATTCGCCTCTGGAGCTGGAGCCAGTGTTTGCATAATAACGTCCAAAAACATGCAAATGCCTCAGATCTAGGGCGCTGGGGCCATGCCGCCCCCGCTACAGAGAAACACACAACCCGTTAACACGCTGCCGAAGAGAGGGAGAGATCAGCTGCCAGACAGTGGGGCTGCCTTGGCTGCCGAGGGTCTGCAGTCTCTCAGCAAGAGGAGAATCACTCCTGGAAGGACTGGGCTCAGTGTGGAAAGGAACACAAATCCTGCAGCACTAATGGGCTAAAGGAACCAAATCTCTTTAGTCTCGTACAGAGGACAGAATGGGAGGTGCTGGGAAGGACTTGAGCCTTCAGCATCCTCAAGCCTGAAGTCAAGCGAAACTACAGGGAAGTGCATTAATAACCAAGAACAGGAGGCACTTCCTTACACAAACAGTTGCGGGGGTCTGGAACAAGCATATCTGCCCTCTTACTGAATCTGATGCCCTGGCTTTCCAAACACAGCTAGGCGAGATCTTCAGATCTCTACTGAGTGCTACTGAGTGCTACTGAGCACCCGACTCGGCTGGATTTCCTGACTGGGGCTCGTTGTGCTTGTGACCTTTCTGCCTTAAACTTGACCACACTCATTAAAGAGCCCCTTCTCTCCCCCCCTTAGAGTTTGCTGTTGTTACCCACAATCCAGCAGGCGCAAGGACTCACTTGTGTAGATGGACGCGTTCTCTGGATTGAGGACCCGCTCGCACTTCACCGGGAAGACCTGGAACTTGTACAGGCTCCCCGGGGTCAGGGAGTCGACCCGCAGGGTCAGGTTGGTGGTGTTGTGGACCTGGCTGGTGTTGCCCGTGACTTCCACCCTGTACTGGTTGATCATGCCCGGCCCAGGAGTCCAGCTCAGGTAAGCGTTGTGCTCTGAGATGTTGAACACCGACAAATTCCCATAAAACCGGTCTGTGTGGAGAGAGACAGAGAGCGTTTTTGGAGAAAAACCCTGTGGGTTTCATTTTTATGGCCATCTGCAATTGTTCCTGTAAGGGGAAGTACTGGATCTATAACCACAGTGTATTATGAATAGTAACCTGTCTTGCACTGTAATAAATATCTATAAACCATTGTGAACTGTGGGATACTAACGTAGACTCTAACAAACCACAACAAGCTGTATTGTACTATAATGCTGTAAATGGCTGTATTATTATGATAAAAGTGAAACCTGGATACAAAACTACAAACTAAAATCCTGGAAAGTCTTAAACTGTTGAAAATACTAGGTGAGAGAAATGAGATTTAAGGCATGATCGAAGTTCCCTAATTCCTCTGGGAAGAACATTCCTCAGCCTGGGACAGGCACAGGCAATCCTGAACCAGGAGAGCTGGCATGTCAGAGGACTTTCAATCCAAGTTGGCTCTTTGCAGTGGAAATCAGCTCCTCGTTGTTTTGACAGGACCAACTTCTCCCAGCTCCCAACCCAACCGCAGCCAGCATGCAGTAGGGAAAGAGGTGATAACAGCGGTCTCGACTCCAATTTCTGGAGCTGGGCTTCCCTGGATTAGAGGGAGATACAAAGGCTCGCCTACTCGCCTACCCCGGTGTCTTTGCCAAATTTCCCATTGGCCCTTATCAATCATGGCCTCCTAATAATCCCCCTCTATGAATTGGCTACATTACTCTGCTCTCCTCCCCACTGATAGCTGATGTGTGGTGAGCGTTCTGGCGCACTATGGCTGCCGTCGCATCATCCAGGTGGATCCTGCACATTGGTGGTGGTGGAGGGGAGTCCCCATTACCTGTAAAGCGCTTTGAGTGGAGTGTCCAGAAAAGCGCTATATAAGTGTAAGCAATTATTATAATTATTATTATTATTACTTGATCAACAAGATGCCATCACTTTTGGGAAAGATACGAAAGGCGACTTGGAAATCTGCTTTCCTAAGCAGGAAGCTAAGCTTTGAAGTACGTTTTTTCTATACTTAGTGTATGATTGGTTTTAATCCATACCACAGCACAATCAATACCTTGTGCACGTCACTAGAAATCAATCCTAGCAGTAGCAGAATTTAGTGCTATTGTAGTGCCCTGCTGATGTATGGCGACATGTGGCTTGATAGCATACACCTGAAGAAGGCTCCACGGCCGAAACGTTGTGTTCTCTTTCTCCTTTTTTTCAGCATGGAATAAACCTATTACTTGTTCCTTTGCAGCCTACACATGCTGACGCAGCTACCCACCTGAACTAGTATTGTATATGATTCTGTTCTTGTAGAGAGGGCATTTAATCACTAAGGGAGAAAAGCCACCAACATAAAACCCCCAAAACACACCACTCCTTCTCCTCATTCCCCAGGGTGCACAGAGGCATTGGCTCCCCTCTCTCCGCGTTACCTGCATAGCAGATGTAGGGGTACAGCTGGTCACAGGTCTCATCGTACCAAAGCCCGGAGGGCAGGAAGTGAATGCAGACCTCCCTGGTATCGTTCATTGAGGGTCGGCCCGGGTACCAGTTTTGGAAGGTGAGCGGGTCCCCATTGGACCAGTTGGTCCACTCCATGGGCCCGTCGAGGTCATTGCGGAGCCCGATCCAGGTGTTGTTGGTGAGGTTCCTGGCCAGGATTGGGATGTTGTCGGTCGTGACGGTCACCAGGTCCTGGAAGCACAACCTGCAGTGCTCGAGCGCCACCTCCCACTCCGAGCCGTTGCTCTGCAGGAAGTACTGGCGCTCGGCGAGGCCGGAGATCCACAGCGCTGCTGGGCGACGACACACAGAGAGACAGGGAAGCGTCAGGCTCCTGCACGAGCCCAGCTACAGCATCGTCCCCTCAGGTCTTTATAATCCAAGGTCCTCAAAGGTTACCGGCAAAGTCAGCCCACTGGACTTCAACAGGCTGGTCAACAGTGAAATCCAGACCAGAAGACTCATGTGAAACGTTGAGTGGAGGATTAAGAACACTAAGAAGATTCCCCTCCATAAGGAATCAAATACCTACTGTACATGTGCCTACCTTGATTTATATTTTAATAACACTCCCCGGATTAATCAAGAACAAAATACTTTTCCCCTGGCAATTTTAGGATCTTCGATCCTTTCTTAAGTCCGACTACATACATAGTTAACGCTCTGTTCAATTCTGCATGTCACTAGACTGTATTCTCTCTCTCACACAGGTACAGATGCTGCACACTGGGGTTAAGCACCTCTAATCTGTTGGTGGGGATTGCACAGATACAGTTGTCTGCTGATTTGCCACTCCTTTGGAGAAGCAACAGGATGACCCACACCCCAGGGTAATCCAATGTGCCCTCAGGAGAAGAATGCTCCCCAAAAGAGGAGGACAAAGAACTACTAAGTAATTAGAATTATGCAACAGCCACATTATGTCTAAATCCCATATACTTAAATAAACAAGGAGACTGACCACTCCATATCTGGACATGTAGGGGGGACCAATCAGCCAAAGTTTATTTATCAAATGCACCGCAATACAGCGTGCAGCAGTAATTGCTGGCAATGAAATGTCTTTTCTGAGAGCTCACCGGGGGGAAATAAAAATAAAAATCACAAAATTAAAAGTTAAAGTTACATTATAATAGTGCAATAAAAATTAAATTTAAAAAATTCAATATAAATAGAACTGCTACATATCAAGGGTGTCTGCAATGCATTATGTATAGTCGACAGTTCATATTGGTGTAAATATAACTGTACCAATAGTCGATCATATGTCCATAAGGAACAAGGAATAGGCTTATTCCATGCTGAAAAGAGAACAAAAAACACAACGTTTCGGCCATGGAGCCTTCTTCAGAAGACACCTGAAGAAGGCTCCACGGCCGAAACGTTGTGTTTCTTTTCTTCTCTTTTCAGCATTGAGTAAACCTATTTCTTGTTCCTTTGCAGCCTACGCATGCTGACGCAGCTACCCACCTGAACTACTTCAACCCATATGTCCATAAGTGTTTGTCGGTCATATCGGATCACCGGGCAAACAGAATGTGCAGTTAGCAGTACAAAAAACAACATGAAATAAAGAAAGAAACAGGAACGAATGGGAGCTCGCAGGGCGGCAGCCATCTTGCACAGATCACCAGACTGAATGGAGCTCCTAAGCTCCCCTGGAAGCCGGCTCAGCCTCATGAATAACGAACAAGCTAGCTACTGGGCTGGTACAATACCAAGAGATCTGCTACAGCTCATGGCAGCAGGCTTGGAGCAAGTCAAAACTGGATTCCAGTACCCTCCTCCAATGGCAATGAGAAGAACTGCACACAATCAAAAGTTACATCCTACTGAAAGTTTATTTTATTCATTATTTTGGTGCTACTGAGCCAGTATTTGCCTTTCTATTAATATAACAACCCCCCCCCCTCCCCCCTTCCTGTTTACTTTGCCTGCTCCTGGGTCTTCTATAACATGTCTCACTCCACATAACAGTATATTTCAAAACTGTTTTTTCCCCTTGGTGTTTTTTGCATAGCTCGAGATTCCTCTTTCGCCCTGTCTGTGTATTAAAATGAACTCGGCTTAAATATCACATTTGCATCTTTTAAATATCTGCAGAGCGCTTAAAAAAGGGAAAAACAACAGGAAAAGAGCCTCCGCACTGTCTGTCCTGAGCCCCAGCACTGGTGAGCTGCTGGACATGTCCTGCAGCAGAATGTCCTGTCCTGATTTCATGATGTGTTGTTAAATCACGACTGAGATTGTTTCAATTAGAAAGTCATGCAATTATCTGGCTCTTACTCACTGTCTAACATGTTATGTGCAGGAAGCCTTAATTCAGAAGGTTATTGTATGGCATGATTCCAGTATAGGATCATAAATACCTGGTCCATTCTGAATCCCGCTCTTTATAATAGGTTTTAAAGAGCACTTCATAGGCTCGTCACAGTTAGCTGTGATACTTCAGTGTAGAAACTGTGAGGTGGCACTGTGGACAAAGATGCCTCTAAGAGAACAGATAACATCGCCTCTTACCCACCTGCCTCCTCGGTCTTTCTCAGTTGGTTCAATTCAATGACACGGCTCTTTATTTGCCTCATCTGAGCAGTGTTGCCAAAGCAGTCCCACAAAGTACATTTTACCTAGCAGAAACACCCCTTAAACCAGCGCATAAGCAAGGAGCCCCCAACTCTGGTCCAGTATGATTTGTGATTAAAAATCAAGCTTGTATCAATTTCAAATGTCTTGCCTGAAATGTGACCAATTGGTTAAAAAGCTCACCGTGGGTGAGTCTGCGAGTCTGACAGAGAGTCATTCACACTGGGTCTGTTCACCAATTGATCCAGTTAGTAAGAGCTGTTTAGTCAGAGGTAAGTACAAACGGGTCAATGTTCAATACCTTATTCCCATACCAACTAGTTGCATGAACCTTGGTTAAGAGATTTAAGTTAATCAGGTGGAGTTCTGTGTCCATGAAGTGGGACAAACATAGACACTAAACTTGTTTAAACATTAAACATTTAAAAGTCTTATCAAACAAGCAGGAGAGCAGAGTCATGAATCAGCACTGGAGATTGAGGGCTGAGCTGAATGAAAAGCAGCAGAGACACTACTCCCCACGGCCAGGTCTGGGAACCACAGCACGAGAGCGATGGAAAAGAGCAAACCTCTGAATGAAAGGAGACCAGAAATGGAGACCGGACTGAGGCTCCGATTAGACACGAGCAGGAGGAGCTCATGTCTAATCGGACCCTTTTACTTCCCCACCACCTTTCACCCTGCCGGTCAGTCCCCTGTGCAGTGATTCTCATTATCTCCCTCCCTTCTGCTCTGTCACCTGCAGGAGACAGGATTTCCACCCAGACTTCAGGTCTCAGACACTCACCCGCCAGCAGGAGAGGGACCTTCATGATCGCTGCCCAGCAGTCACCCAGGGGTAACAAGCCCGATCTGGGAACACAGATGTGGACAGTAAAGGATGATGCCTGCGCCGGCCCAATCACCCCAGTTTCCTCTCCCCAACTCTTCTTGTCTCAGCTCTCCAAAAACGTCCCACGTCCACTGTCTGCATCGAAACAGTGCATCTTCGGACACACGCCCACCATTACCGTCCTGCGGTTACACTTAGGAAATCAGCTTTGCTCACGAAGAGACGATGTTCCTCTCCAGGTGACCCGTGTAAAACCCCTTCTCTTCACAAGACACAGCACAGATGTGATTTTAAATGAACTTTTCTGAATTAAGTTTTAGAATTTCCAGAATACACATAACAGTTTTGAAGTGAAATACTATCTTTTGTACTATAGCCTCTTAATACTGCCTTGAAAAGCTTTTATCATATAATAATAATAATAATAATAATAATTATTAAGATAGACTCACCAGTGTGTCTGCTGTGCTGACTCTATGATTCTGTTGTAAGCTGAGGGTGCTATGTTATGATTCTCCCTTTGCCCCACTTCCTCATTCTGGTTAGCTTTCAGATGTGTGATTTGCATGTTCCTGATCTTCAGACAAAGAACCCAGTGGCATCCTCCTGTGTTCTGTATGCATTTGTACACAAGCAACCCATTCAGAGGAGCAACTAACACTGAAGATAACCAAATTCTATACAGTTGGTAAACATGCATAGTCATATAAGTCAGTGCAAAGTACCCTAGCCTTGACAGCACCAGCGGCTTCATTTGTGTGCCTCTAAATGTTCAAAGCCTGTAAGTTTGCTTTCTAGAAATTGTGCTGCACCATCATTCCTGGTCTGATCTGGGCAGCAAACAAATTAAGAAAGTCACAGCTCCTTTTTTTTGCGACTATATGGAGCTGTGAGGGGGGTGAGATCGAGGCCTTGGGGCAACCTTGTTGTGAAAGGCGCTATATAAAAATAAATTGAATTGAATTGAGGTGGAGAGGAATTGAAAGAGGGAGAGAAAGATTGCAAAGAGGATGGTATCCTGTAGTGGTTTTCAAAAATAAAACAGCTGCGGAACTGTTATATAGAGACATGCATATTGCAACTACTGCATATTGATAGTAGTTGTGGTTTGCAGAGGGAAGACTGGAGATCTTTCAGCTGCTGTATGTGTATCAGTCTACATTTGCACTTGTTACTGATTCTGCTTGGCTTTCCACAATGCTGTCCTGTAGGATTACCCTCCTCGGGAGTACAGAGGTTAAAGGAGAACTGCAACGCTATTTTTATATTTAGGGGATAGGAAGAATCTGCATTGATGAATGCACTTCAAACTACAATGAATGTAAAATGCACACAGTAACTTGTAAAACCTCCAGTTTACATCACAAAATAGATGTATGGTATGGTAACAGAACTTAACAAAAAATATATACACCGGCTCCATTACATTGTAAACAAGCAGACTTCTGAACACATCTCTATTAATACAACAGAGATATTACTCTCGGCTTTGAGACTGTTTTGTTCTGAAAAAGACTACTCACTACTGCAAGGAGATCATGTTGAAACATAACAGTGGTGAAATATCTGCTCCACGTCCTGTACTTATTCACTCCAACACCATATTACAGTATAGTCAATACAGTGACTAGTGAGCAGGAAGGGTTGCTTTGCGTCACAATTCGTGGGAACCCAGGGGTTTGCGACAACATGGCGACTTCCAGTAGTTTCACAAAGTTCTCAATTTTGTGCTTGATTTCTAAAAAGTTTTCAATGAAATTAATTTTGCTACTGGATGTAATAACCGGTCTGAGAAATTGGGACTGCAGTTCCCCTTTAAGGGATAATTCCTTGCATTTATATAGCACTTTGCATATACTGTAGGAGGAAGTGCTTCACTGACATGGGTGATGCATGGCAGCTGTTCTGCACCAGCAGGCCTCCTGCTACACTGCTAGACAAATGAGAAGCTGTTTCAACGGTTCAATTAAGATGAAACTTCAGGTGAACCAGCTTGTACAAACCCAGAGGAATTTAGCCAGGACCCCTGGACGAACACTTCTTCTCTCAAGAACAGTACCCTGGGAGCTATCATGACCACATAGTCAGGACCTCTGTGATGTCTCTTTTGAAGGATGGCAGTCATCAGTCTGGTCCAGACGGAAGAGCGCCACCTACTGCCCCACCAACACCCCTTACAGCAGCCACCTGTTTTAAACTAGGTCTCCTATCCCAGTAGTGACCAGTCCTTACTTCCGAGCTCTCACAAGTGCAGGCTATTGACCTTACCACTTACCAACAAACACACACAAAAACAGCCTACACCAGTCACTTTAAGAATGAAAAACTTTACTGGACATCAACAAGTTTAATAATGCTATGATTGTTGTCCGAGCAAAACTGTAGAGGATGAGGTCCAACTCGGTCCCTGCCCGTCTGCAGGACAGAACAGACGTAGAACAAAAACACTCCAGACTTTTTATTTGTAGTTCTTGTCATCCTCAGCTTACAAGATTATATGCTGGAAGTGGTGAAAAACAGGGAGCAGGAAGTAACATCATCACTTTCATGATTCAATGTCACACCACCTGCCAGTTTCTTCTTCACCAAGAATAATTGTCAATACCAAAGTAATCCAGCTCGTCCACCAAATACCAGCTGGACAAGGACTGAACTGCAACTAACCGTAGCACACAAGCAGCCCATGGTCCATCTTGGTTTATTCGATAGGGCAGTGACAGCTGGCTGCTAGAGAAGGAACAGCACATTGAGAAGAACAAAACCGAAGCCACTTTACTCATACTTGTGGCGTTCCAAGTATTATTGCAGTATGAAAGTAACTAATACAAATTTGCCATCACGGCCACTATAGTCAGAGCACTGTTGTGTAAAAAAAAATGGCATAAAAAATAGTCTATATAGTAAAAAAAACATTCCAGCTAAAAGAAGATTTCTGTCATACAACCGGTTCTGAAACCTTTATCCCTTTCTTGCTAAAACAAGGAAGGGGCGTCAATAAAAAAATGCCCCCTGGCTGAGTCAGCATCCAGCTGTAGTAACAGGTCTAGACAACCCCATTGACAAAAATACTCTGATGACAAAACAAGATCAACTCCACATGATCCTGATCATTAGTTTAGGTTACATGCAGCGCTAACGGCCTGTAAACATGGGCTGCAGATTTCAAACAGGGGGCATTTTTTGGCACTCTTCAGGCCTCAGTCGGAGTCAGTCTTCTCCTCCTTCACCAACAGCTTCTTCCCTTTCTTGGGCTCTTTTTCCTTGTCCTTCTCCCTCCGGCTGCTGCTCCTGGTGTGCCTGCAGAGAGAGAGAGACAAAAAGCAAGGTGAAAATGTGCACAGGGCCCGATGAGAGATGGGAACGATGGGGGAAATGTAGCTCTGGAGTCAGACTAGACACAGGGTGCTTGCTCTTTTCCCCTGGACAAATTCCAGGCAGCTTTTAAAATTTCAAGACCCATCTATAACTTCTGTGCATTATACATGCACATGCTTTGCTGACATTTTTCTTGCGACAAATTACCCATTCTAATGAACAAAACCTCAAATAATGAACACAGACTAAATATCCACATGGCAATTCTTCTGTGAGCTTACCGCCACCTTCTGCTGCTTTGCACGGAAATCTAAGCCCTTTTTGGTTTAGATATTGTGGGTAACAACGGTACATAATATTAAAAATTATCAATGTAAACAAGTTGACAAGCTGAAGAACACAATTTGCGCAGACAAATTTTATATTACTGAACTCTTTTACATGAAAGTTTGCAATATTAATGGCCAAAGCTGCCCGACTGTTATTGCAAACAACGTCGGAATTCTGTGCCAGTTCTAGAATTCACTGCCTCAGCATTAATACAACAGATTCCCTTATCATGATCCGATATTTAACTGAAGACTGCGGATGTTTTGAAAATACACGATTACACTGATAACTGCTTACATCAGTTTAAAATAGCAACTGCTTAGTGTGACTGGCTCTTAGAGCACAGCTGGGTTTGGCTCTGTATAGGTTCTTCGATTCCGTTTTTATGTACTCCTGAATATTGGCATTGATACTCTGCAATGTACTGTCGAACGACAGTTGTGAAGACATTGTTGTTAAGGTTAAATCATGTCCATATTCACTATCTAAACCGAAAGCAATGACGTCTAGATGGAATTGTTACACCATCATAATAACATTCTGTTATTAATAATCTGGTCATACACTGTATTTGTGATGTTTGTTGCAGGGACCAGTCAACTGTGTTCATATAAGGTAAAATAAGATCACTTTACTGGCCATATACAATTTCTTGCATTAGGAATTTGTCTTTTCGCATACCCCAACTTGGCTCTCCATGAGACACACGGACAGGGAGAAAAAGCTTGGGGTCAGAGCACAGGGTCAGCCATTTAAACAGCTGCCCTGGAGCAGTTGGGATTAATGTTTTTTACGTTATCCTAACAGGGGTAGATTACAGTTTGATTGGCTGACATCCAGCCAATTGTTGGCTCAAATGAATGTGAATAACCGCTGGCCATTTTTTTGGGGAAGGCTAAAACAAGGAAGAGGTGAGGTCATGTGTATTTGTGTTTAACACCAACATATTTGTGCGAGGCCAACCACCTGAGGTTCACATGATTTTGATACTAACATTTCCAACCTTTTTCCAGATACACATTTCATTTGCCAAACTCTCCCAGGACTGGAGATCAGTCATTTTTAAGTCCATTTTAAGCCAGCACTCCATAAGACGGCGTAGAAAGGCCCCCTGATGTGAAAACGCCACAGACGGGGTTTGGCAATAGCCGGTCACTGCAGTGCAATACTCACAGCTTCTGGCGGTATTTCTCCAGGTCCGCCACTGGGACCAGATCCTTCAGCTCCAGGCTCTCGTTGATCTTCTTCAGCATCTCGAATCGCTCCCGGCCCCGGACCTCGAACAGACACGCCACACACACACACACCGGTCAGCCCCAGACTGCACACTAGCCCTCACACACCAGCTCCGGAAAACTTCAGCGGCGTGTGTGTGTGTGCACTGCCGCATCGGTGAGATTCGAACACGAGAGACCGTCCCCACAAAGACAGGAACTCCTGAGAAACGGGTGCCGCAAGCCTTCGCAAAGCAATAATAAAACAGCTAAAAAAATCCCAAAGTGTCAAAACTATTTGGTTTTGGGTTTGTTTTGAGCCCATATTGGAGTTTCAGTTCAGCTGAGAAGGAAATGGTAAAGAAAAAACAGTCAATGGACAGTCCTCACATGTCCAGATGTGTTTTCATGGCTCAAACACCCACTCTTATTCCACAAACCCTTTTTTTCCAGGGGGTTATACAGTTGAAATGAAAGGAAATGGTGCTAGGGAGAATATTTCTGTACATTTGCAAATTTCAGAAGACCCAAGTGGCCAGTCATTTGTCTGCTAGGGGAGCATAATAATGTACTAAACCACTTTTCAACTGCCAATACCTTTAACACAGGGTCTTAAAGGCTTGGGACTAGAATTCCCAGAACTGCTCCACAATGCCCATGTTCAAGAGTGGAGTGGGCGTGTACCCAGTGCAGAGCCTAAACTCTCACCTGCAGGGTGAATATCTCCTCCTCAGCGCTCGAACTGGACTTGGTCTTCTTGTTGTTGTCAGACGGGGGAGTGGACTGGTTCACTTCTTTAATATCTGGGACAGGGGGGAGGAGAGGTCAGTATTCAACAGACTTAATAGGGAAAAATTTCTTATAGCTTGTCTTGCAGTTTTAAGACTTTTTTTTCAGCCCTACTGATCAGGGTGAGACCTGCCAAATTGAGAAAGCCCCACCAATAACCTATTCAGCTCAAAATCACCTGTTTATGTTCTTCTCCAGCTCTGAAGCAGGCTGAGAAGACCACAAGACCAGGTGTGTGTTCGAGCTGAATGGCTGCTATGTGGTCATGGTGTGACAGCAGGTCTCACCTTGAACCACAAGGAAGAAATTAATACTTTATCACAAATGTAATGCAATTCATGTCTAGCAACCAGGAAAGCATGTTCAAGGACCCAAAGCAATTCATTGTCCTAGTTCTAGATCTTTGTCCAAATGAAGAAATAAAATGCACTGATTAATCAGAATTATTTCAAAACGTAAAATACTCTTGTGGATTAAAATAAGCCTGACAGGTGTCTTCTGTTTCTACAAACCATCACTCATAACTGATTTATTCTCAATGCCTTTTAAAATCAACAGGTTTCTTTCTCTAAACATGAACATTTCACTTAATATCTTGCCATGAACTTCAGATTCAGTGTGACTCCAGTTTTTAAAGAGAAAAAAGTTTGTATAGGTCTTGATTTCTGTTCATGCCAATTCATCCTTATCCCCACTGTGTGTCCCAGTGTCCCAGCTCATTTCCCCCCCCGTTTCCCAGGCTGCCTCACTCACTGCGCTTGTTACTCCCCGTCGACTTGCTGCTCCCTTTCTCCTGCTGCTTGTGGAAGTTCTCCTCCTCCGTCTTGCGGTCTCGGCCGGGGCAGGCGCACACGCGTACCTCAAAACACCGGCGCCCCAGGAGCTGACCCCTGGGAAGAATGCAAGAGATGCTGTTGAGCCTAACCAGGCTCAGGTCTGACTGCAACACACCTTCTGCCTCAGGAACTCGGGCCAGATTGCCAAAGGCAAATGAGAATCTGTTCTCACCTGACTCTGCAGTGCCATTTGCTGGCCACGGAAGGGATAGCACAACCACTGCCCCCCCACATCTTCAAACCTTGGAAAAGAATCACTGGAATCGGACTCCTTTCGCAAAGCTGGTGGATACATTCCAGATTTTAACCTGGTGGGATCCTCTACACAAGCCCACACCAGATGGGCAGAAGATACATTATGTGATATGTTTGCCTTTCTGCATCAGCAACAGAACTGGAATACAGAGCCCATACAAAACAGAACAAGGATCAAATTCCTTTCATCACATGCCTGGAAACAGGGATCCTTGCACATGAAAACAGAGTAAGAAAGAGCAAGGAGATAACCCAACTGATCAGCATGTAAGAGAAAACAAGGAGTGATTCTCACAATCAGTCCAAACACCAGGCAGTTCATAAATAATACAGGTCTCCAGCACTCTTAAGGTCCTTAACTCCTGAATAGGTTTTATTAAATTATTCAATGTGCCGGAGGAATCCTGCAGTGGCTTTGCCTTGGCCTGAAACCAAGTACAGGACAAGGCTGATGGATGCAAACGACAGGAGAGAACAACAGACCGATGGGCAGACTCACTCCTTGGTCTCCAAGGTGATGATAGTGAGGATGGGGCGCCGGTTCATGCCACCCATACAGCTGCTGTTGCACATGAAGTTGTAGAGCACAGTGGTGCACTCTGACCCCAGCTAGAGGGACAAGAGAATGAGACTGGTCAGAGGTGGCAGATGCTCATGATGCTGCAGAACAGTGGCACACTCTAAACCCAGCTAGAGAGGGACCGAGAGGGTGCCGGGGCAGAGCAGCTGGAAGAAAGACAAGGCTGCCTAGCATTGGGGAACAGGAGCGTCCTTTGATTCAAGCCGAAGCACCTTAAGACAGAAACCAGAAGCAGGGTGAGTGGTTACCTGAGGAGACTCGTAGGGCACCAGCACACTCTGCCGGCGGGTGTTACCGTCTTCCATGTACTGTGCCATCTGGCTACCCTCCACGCGGATCAGGTGCCCTGGGGGTGCAGGACCTGGAACACAGAACAAAGGCTTAGAAACTAGAACCGATGTAATAGCCAGGTCTGCTGTTGCCTTAAGCAACGCACCACAGGTGAGTGCTCCTACAATAATGGCTTCATCCTTTTATACCCAGCTTTGCACAATGATAAAAACATCTGGACAGCTACTACTTTACAGCCTCAAGGAATCACAGGATAGAATATATGCAGAGTTGTTCCATCTGCGTGGTTTTCTCCTGTGGAACTCTTGCTCCCATTTTGATAAAGCAGTATTTAATCAGCAATATTTTAATAAACTAATGAAAGTGACAAATTAACTCTCAGAAGGGGGCATGCCGCCCCTGATACACAAAGCAAGGAAAGCTGCAAATGGAGACATGGGGTACCTTCGTTGTTTTCGGGGGCCCTCTCGTGATGCGGGCAGCGGCGGACCACGTCGGCTACGTGCTCCGACTTCTTGTAGACAGCCATGGCTCGGATCAGGGCACCCATGGGTGGTGGGTTAGACACAAAGATCTGGACAGGGCAGGTCTTAGCCAGCTGGCAGTACAGCTTGTTCAGATCTGGGGAGTACTGCAGAGGTGGGGGGGAGGAAAGGAATCAGGAGATCAGGCAGGAGAGAGAGGAGAAGAGAGGGTCAGTAGATGCTTTGGAGTGACTCTAGGAGCCCAATGCTGCATTGCACAGCCTACAACAGGACCACAAGGTCAGCTCCCAAAGACTGGAGCAATAAATACTGCATAGCATGGTCAACTGACGACTGTATGGACTGAAAATAAATCAGACAGGATGATTGCTTCTCTAAATGGTGTATCAAGCACAGGCTGAAAAAACACCCCAGCGATTTAGAAGTGAATCAGATGACAGCAGAGAGCAAACTTGCCCGAGCAAAAACAAAACATCTCGGCCCAAGACATTCTGGGAGACCGAGTCTAGACTGAATCTTTTTTTATAATTCCCTTATTTCACAAAGGCACCCCGTTTTTATTTTAACAAGGCACAATTTTAGTTTTCAGTTTCATGCCATGAGCCCTGAAAAAAAATCAGACTTCAGGATTATTCACCTTAAAGCTGTTTGAGGAGATATAGAGAATACAAACTACAACTGTAAACTCAAGGAAGAACAGTCACATGAGTCAGCAGAACAGCCAGCACCCCAAACCAAGTGAGACTGTCACAATCCTTCAGGTCTCTAATTTTAATAACGCTCAGCTTTGACATACATCAAAGGCCAACTCAGGATTTTACCTGAAAAATAAAATTAAAGTTCCAATGGAAAAAAGGTATGATCATCAAACCCACACCTGAGAAACTGAGGAGAAACCTGAAATCTCAGAATTTTTACGACTGCCTTATTTCACACTTTTAATCATAGTAAACCTTAACATTTTAATTTCACTTACCTGTTGAATCATACTGTTTCCAAGATCTCAAATACTGTGGTTTCGCCTGTTGTAGTGTCACAAAATGAAATACCCGATCCATGCAGAACACTTTTGCCCAGAACTATATATACACCTCCCTCCCACCCTGTGTTCTGCAGTGCAGACATGCCCATCTTGTAAACTGTACAAGTCTCTGCTCTGCAGGCAGTCTGCGAGTCTCTCCCCCTCCCTCCTCCCAGGCTGGCCTGCTCTGAACAAGTCTTGGCATGCCTCAGACAGAGCCCAACTACAGACAGAGTGAGCAGCAGCCTCCCTGTAGCTTCGGCAGTGCTACAGAACTGTACTTTGCACCATCAAATACCCCCTAAGAAAAAGGAACGGCCACATACAGTAAAAAACTGGAAACCTGGCAAAAATGCACGATATAGTACCAAACCAGCCAAGTACTGACTAGCCTGCTTCACTCCTGAACCTTAACAACAGTGCCCTCTTTCAACAGGGAACGCCTGCCACAAGCTATTAGAAATGCATGATTTTCTGAAGATTCACTAACAAGCCAAGAAAATGTGGTGAAACCACACGAACGATTCCCATTGGAAGAAAGGACACCAACCAGTTACTGCTGCTGAGGGAGGTGGGACGACTTGTTACCACCACAAGAAACAGCTCTCGAAAACCACTTCTCTTTCAGCGTCAATGCCTTCCCATCACCCAACTTCTTCAGCAGGCGCAAAACTAAATAGGTGACCGATAATGAAACTGGATAACAAACTTTCACGTATTGGTACGATCGCTGCCCCCGCATGTGTGCACGTTGGTGAGCAACATTAGTCAGTATACTCACTAATATACTAACTGCAGTAGTCTGGGTCACTAATCAAACAACCCCTCATCCAAACCAGCCACAATTATTTCTAGACACGACAACAAAGGGTGCAAATGCCTTTCTAACACTCTCCAAACTCTGATCACTTATAATTAATATTGAGACTGTTTTGAAGTCATGCAAGTAACTCAATGTCGCAAGAATGGTTCAGTCTTCTGGCCAGTTCAGTAGAGGATTCTAGGAACGAACCTCTTATGAGTATGTGCACACACACACACAAACACAGAGCAACAGAAACTGCTGCTCTGAACCTGCACAAGTGTGGCTGTGGTTATTGCTTATGCTACATCCTGAAAAAACTGGCCATCTCCGCAGCTAGGACACCGCAAGGAGGAGGAGAGGGAGAGGAGCTGAGATAGATGGTGGGGAAGGGAGATGAGGGAAAGAAGGACGGAGAGCGAGGAGCGTGTGGGAGGTGCGTTAACCCTGTCCTTCCCAGACGTGCGGAGGCACGGCCCTCTTTCTCCACGGGACATGCCCCGTCATGCCTCCGAAACCATGCATTAGCGGAGACCCTCGCCCCCCAGCGCCTGCCCTCTAAATCTCGGGTTTTTACAAAAACGGACATCTAAAGCGATCCCCCCCGAGCCATTCCTGCAGCACGCTTTGGCATTTCACCTCAACCAAACCCCCTCCCCAGTCTGCATCCGCGTCTCGCACAGTGGACCTGCCGCCGGACCGCACACAACAGGCTCGGAGTAATCCGCCCCCGGATCCCGGACAACTGACGGGTAACTATTTAGCACAAAATACTAAGGACGGAGGAGCTGGTGTTGAATCTGAACTAGAATCTTTTAACTTTTTTAAACCTGTATTGCTTTACACCAGTTGTGACAGATGGAGAGTAAGAAGTTTAAACCCTTAGAGGGCTACAAGGCAGATTCTGAAGCCAGGCGGTCTACTAAATAACAGTTAATGAACTTGAGTAGATTAAAAATTACTTCGGAAGCAGGAAACCAGTAACACGGGTGGTTTTCCATAAACGGAAAAGCTTAAAAAAAAAAGATTAACGCGAATGCTCATTCATCAAAATGTGGATTTGTGCCTTTTTTCTATAATAAAAAATGGCTAACATGGAGTTAATTTACTGCACCCTAAATTAATCCAGCTGGAGTTTAAACAGATTTCTGCATAACGGAAGAAAAGGCAAATTCACCATTTTTAAATGATACACGTGATGATAATAAAAAGAATGTCTGCCCAAAGGAGGAGAAAACTAAGAATACCGTGCATAAAGGTGCTATATAAAGCCCAATTAGACTGCACAGTAACTCCGACTCCACAGCTGGGTGAAAAGAACAGAAAACGAAGACAAGAGTGATTAAAACCAGATGTGTTCAAGCAGTGGCCGGCCGACTCACTGACTGACGCCAAACTCAAACAATCTGACAGCGCGCAACACCGAGCTGCCTGCAGCCCCCCTCCTGGGTGCCGACGAGTGAGGGGATCCAGGTGACCCGGGCTCGGGGGAGGGTGCCGCATCAGACAGAGCACGGCGGTGCGGGCAGAGCGCAGGGACTTACAGTGCAGGTGACCGACTTGGCAGTGCCAGACTGCTGGAAGCGCAGCTGGAACCCCAGCTCTCCGGGGTAGTCGGACGTGGATGGCACAGTGGAGGAAGAGGGCGCCAAGCCATCCGGGTTCGAGACCATGGGCTGGGGGGGCATGGAGACGTGAGGCTCCAGTTCCTCGTACAGGCTGTCGATGGCGTTGGGAACCAATTCATTGGTATACAGCATCTGTGGAGGAGCAGAACACAGCAGCGTCAGGTGAGCCGTGAGGCAGCAGTATACAGTCCTGCACAGGTCTCTCTCGTTCCACAGGAAACTATTACACAGCAAAGAAGGAGGTGAGCTTGATCTTCCCAGGACGAGACGATGGGGTGACTGTGTGTCAGTTAAAGGGAAAATGTTTTACGAGAACATCACAAATGGATACAAGTGACTAGAGGTCATTTGAGCCACCAAGACCACTGGGAAAACTGGTAGGAAGAGACCGGGCCTGTATATAAAAGAAGGGGCAGCCAGCGCAAGCTAGTGATTACTGTCGAGGGACTAGGGCAAAGAATATGTGGGCTGGGGGTGAGAGCTAAGGAAATGGTAGAGAGGGAGGCAGTGATGGCCCAGAACTTCAAACAGACTTACGCTCTGCAGGTCTGGCCACTGAGCATTTTCAGGAGGCACAGCCCTGAAAAAAAAAAAAAGAAAAGAATCAGTAAAAGTATCAGTGATGCACTCGACAAGACTCAGAGCACTGCACAGTGCCACAGCACTTCTAACTCACCCCTTTCAGGATTCTGGTTTGCTCTAAGACTTGGCTTTCCAGCAACAAACGCCTGCGCCAGCCTGAAACGGAGCGAGACGCGGAGCCGCCCACTCACAGAGCCTTCTGGCACTTGACAGGCTTGGATCTCGGCTGCAGAGCAAATGCCAACCGGTGGGGGGGGCACTGCGCTTCTCGCCAACATCGCTAGAAGCCTGCAGGAGCCCCGCAGGTCACAGGAGACCCTCGTTGGTGCTGCAGCAAGGACAAAGAGGACCCCAGCTGGCTACTCCCATCCCTACCACACGTCACTGGGGGTGTCCCAGTCAAGTGCCTGCTAGTGCCATTACCCAGGCTTGCCTGCGGTCTGAACCCTTACGCAATGATTTCCCCCGACACGCCTCTCGACAGGCCCACAGACACAGATTTTTTTTTTTAAGAGCTCCTCCACTGCTAGTCCTTCTTCTGAATTGCACCTGTGTAGTACAATTCTTCCGGAAATTACTCTGGCTTGAAAAACCTCCATCGTTCCTCCAGTGCATTGTGTCATTTTCACGCTGGGTGCTTTGACACGTGTAAATTGCAGTCAACGCCGGGGGCAGCTGGAAAAGGGCACCCGTCACACATTGGGGGTCACGGGCGGTGGGGTGACCCCTGCGCCCCCCCCCCCCACCCTCCCGGTGCACTCACACCATGTTCCAGAGCTCCTGGAAGGACTCCTGGCTCAGGGGCAGCCCCTCAGGCTCGGGATCCGCCATGCTGTCCTCGCACTCGCAGCAGCTCAGAAGGCGACAGGCAGGCCAGGCAGCAAGGCTGGAGGGGATGAGAGAAAGAGCAGGTAGGAAGTCAACACGTGCCCAAGAAACCAGGTACTGTAAGCATATCTCCCCATAGAAAGCCTACAGTCCTGAGGACTCAAATGGTAATGAGAAAGGTCCCCTGTGGCTGTGCTATACACCCCTGTGGCAACACACACCAGAGTAAAAAAAACAATAATTTAAGACTACAGTCTACAAAAAAAACTGAGAAAATTACAACAGCACGCAAAGCTGAAGAAATTAAATGGTGGTCAGACGGTGATAGTTATTCACAGTTTACTCTCAATTGACTTACCTGGATGCACCAAGTATTACCAGACCTTGAACTACTCAACATTTCAGGTCGTAAAGCGCTATTACGGCCTGAACGGAACTGAAGCACTGGAGTCCTGTTCTAACTGTGAGTGCTCCCCCACCATTATTTCAACTTTCTTTCACTTTTGCCTGGCCACAAAGCTGTGGGTATTGTTGTTCTCAGGTTAACGTCCCCGAGATCCCAGAAATAATCACGTTGCTCATGCGTTTGCAACCCGAAGCCTGCTGGTGGGTCATACTGGAACTGTAAGGTAACCTTCCACGAGATTTGATACTGAGCCCACAAGGCAAACAATTCTTACTTCACGTATAAAGGGTCTTTATCTCGAGTAAACTGAGGAAAGGGCCGATAAGGACTGAACAAAAAACGGAAGGAACGGCACACAAATGAAGGGCTTCACTAATTCTTTGTTTATACAGTAAAGAGAAATAACCGGCGGCCATGTTGACGCTCCGGGTGCCCTCGAGAAACCAAAACGTTTGCTTGTCGTTCGTTAACAGCTTCTCGCGTTACAGCGCCTACAGGATGACCTCATCGGACCGCACCACTAACACGGTCTTTAAGACAAAATGAACAACGCAAACTGGATTTACAATCACTTCCAGCAGCATTAGCTTTCTATAAATAACCAACAAAACATGCGAAGTAATATGCCCAAATCGCTATATTCGAGTATACATGTCGCTAATCGGCCACGCTCCCCCCCTCTTTTCAAGCCATTGATCCGATGGACGGGGGTAATTGGGCGAGGGAAACAACAAGAAGGGATGGGGGGGGAGCAAAATCTATCTGTCATATCCAAAATGTGAAAGAGAGTCAAACCGAAGCCCATAGCTAACCTCGAAGCATCGACAACTTCTCTACTCCGTCAGAGCATGTTTTTATTGTGCTATGACGTTGAGAAACAGAAACTACGAATGGACTTAGACTGTGACCTCCCCTACCTCCTTCCTCACAGCACAAGCTTCCAACGAGTCCGGAAAATGAAGTTTCTCATGGTGGCACCGCGATCGCCAACACTGAAGGGGGAGGCCACGCCAGAGCTGTGAACATGTATATATTCACACAGAAATCAACCCGAAACGGTGGAGGTCACACCAGGACACAACTGCGCTACGATACCGAGGTCGTTGCAGCTGATGAGGTTCTAAACACGGAAACGAAGAGAACGCGAATTTTCCCCCACAGTACCCCTTTGTGAACTTCAGAAGTTGTTAGGAACTCCATGTCTGCGTTTTGAATCTCGTCCTCGGTTTTCCCTCCCTTAAAGCACTTGCATACACCTCCCTTAAAGCACTTGCATACACCTTGGGAATGGGAAGCCGGGATTTGTTTCAATTAAAGAAACACCAAGTTCAAAGACAACATCAACCGACGTAAACATGCCCAAATATAAATCACGTGTGTCTACTGTAGACTATTTCACCCAACAGCACTCCTTCAGATTAAAAAAAACGATTTTAATTTAATTTTAATTTTACTATGATGGTGTCACATACAGAAAATTATTGACTTTATGAGGGGTTTTAATAAAACGAATATACTCCCGAATACGTCTGAGAAATGGAAGAATTCGAAGTTGTGATCTCCAAATTAAAATTAACCTAGCTTAAATTTAAGCAGCTGGGAAATTAAGGTGTTAATTTTGTGTGCAAAGATTTAAAAATAGAATGTTAAATAAAGTGCTCCCAATTTAAATCTTTAAACCATTCGTGTCAGATCGAAAAACGTCAGATACATAAGCAGCCAAGCGGAGCACGAACAATAAATTAAATCTCAGTAACCTAGAGGATCGGTCTTTCAGCTCGTCTCGCCGTTTACCAAACTGCTCGACTAATGCAAAAGATCTCAGACCTGCAGATTTACAGAGGAGATCGAAGACGACTCTGCCTGAACCAAAAGCATCAACGCAAACACAAAACAGGCGGAGAAGGAGTGAAAATCAAAGCCAGGCCAGCTTCAACAGCAAATCGATTCCTGATCTAATGAAAATAAATAAGATACAAGTAGGAGACCCCAACCCCCCACCCCCACCTACCTTGATCAAAACACAGCATCACTCGGTTCCACTCACAAACTCCACTTTCACTTTTTTCGCCGAAGAGAAACGATTAACTAGCTAACGTTAACACAGGGAAAACCAGTCGCCCAAGCGAACCGCCAATTTATTTTTTCTAAAAATAATAATCATTAAGTCGTCGAAAGGATTACCGGCCAAGCACCCGCAAACTATCTTCCCCATTCTAAACAGATCACATGTGTGCAATTTTGATTACTGTCCGCTCATTCGGCTGAACCCTCGCTTTTCTCGTTGGATAAAAACAGGCAATTTTTCAGGTGGTGATTTTAAGAGGAATAGAATTTAGTATGAGTAGCTGTCATGCCTACCTCCTGTCCCGTTGCAATCGATCCGAAGTCGTCCTCCTCCTCCCCCTGCACCCGCTCAATGGCAACTAACTTATTTTTCTTTTTTTCAGATTTTCTCTCTACAGAACCACGCTTCGGGAAATCCCCGCCGCAAACCGGAAGAGGGGAGGGGCGCTGGGCTCGAACCGCCCAGGCTCCGTGGTCACGTGACCAGAGCACCGTATTATCCCGAAAAGACGCGTACACAGTTTTCTCCCGTTCTCCCGCACGCACCGTAAAGTCCATACGAGAGGCGCACTTGCTTTTTATCCAGCGCCTTTTCTGAATGACCGCGACCTCTAACGGGCGCAAGCACGTTTGCCATACGGAAGCCTACCGTTGCGTGCGACCAAAGCGAGAGGGCGCCCGCAACGTCTTTTCGCTTCACATCCAATTGTTTTTTCCTAAAAGTGCGTCCTGTAAGACAGAATTGAAAAAAGTAGCAAAAAAAAAAATGACATGATGTATTTTATTAACAGGATTAAGGTTCACTCCTGACCTCTCGCAGGTGCTTGGATTCCACACAGACTCGATTTGACAGAAACACACAATCTGCCCATCGTGTTGTGGAGAGAATCTGCGGGGTGTGTTGGATTGTCCGCTAGTGAGAGGTCAGAGGTCAAGGA